ATAACAGAGGTATAAATATGTACTATCCTTTGATTATATATAATATGGATTGAGCCAACGAGAGAGATAGCTTGCGCAAGGTGATCGAACCGAGATAGACATAGAAGCGTACTGACATATAATGGGCGTGCGTTAATTTATAAGATAAAAAACTATCAATTAGAAGTAACATTTATAATACTTACAGGTGATGTGAAACTGTATTATCGCGAACTTTGCACACGAAACAATACATTTTTAAACATAACGGTGTGACTGGCTGTGACACAACAAAACGATAAACGTCAAATGGAAGAGGTTTGACACTTTTGTGCGCATGCGCCCGTCTGTTTAGTACCGTTTTATGTCTATCTTTGTTACACTTTCACATTATCGCTTTCCATCTGCGTCTATTCACCTTGAGCCACATTTTTGTTAGTAGATATATTCAGTTAGCTCAATCCATATTATATATAATCAAAGGATATGATATATTTACGTTATACTAGTAATTAATTACATAATTATCTTACTTGGTGGCATAGCTATTCCATATCCCTTCGAATCCAACATCCCACCGACTTGGGTTAACTCACAATTTCTTTCGATAACATACTCAATCGACGTCGACTCCATAAGAAAAGCGTAACTTCCTTTTCCCTTAACGACTTTTTCCACGCCCTCTTTATTGCTCGACGTGAAAACCGTCGGTTTGGCCGATTCCATAAACGACCACATCCGTTGATACGTTGAGAAATTTGAATCGCGGAAAAAAGCGGCCGTCGAGCCGTCCCTCAAAGCTCCGTATTTAATTCGAGTTTGTTTCGCTAAATCTTCCGCGCTTTCTATCGGCGAATCCATCCGTTCGACCGTTAAAAAAGCAGCGAGGTTAGCCGTGTACGATGAGATCATTATTAACGTGAAAAACCACCACATTCCGGCGACCATTCGCGTGGAAACAGCTCTGAAATAGAAACGAAAGATCTCGATGACGTTTTTAACGTCAAAAGTGACATTATAAAAAGTAAATTTTGTTTACGGGGATACAGCAAGGGTCTAAAGTTTGTGAATTAAAAATTTACAACTTACTTTGGCGCAATGTCAGACCCTTGCTGCATCAATGATCCAATGGTGAACCACAACGAGTTGAGTAGGGTAAATTGGTTCTCGAGTACGTCCGGTTCGTTGTTGCAAGGATGGGGATTGTCCCATTCGTAAGGACTGAATCTGGAACAGAAAAGGAAACGCGAAAAAGAAAGAGAATAGCTCCACTCACTTCGGTAAGAAATCGCATCCTTGTTGCATTAGGGACCCGATGGCGAACCACATACAATTGAAGAGGGTGAATTGGTTCTCTAAGTGGTCCGGATTCGGGTTACAAGGATGCGGATTTTGCCATTCGTACGGCGTGAACCTGAAAAACCACCTGAAAACCGTCCCCCCGCGATAATTTTAAAACTCTTTACCTCGCCAAAATAAAGAGTAAAACGGAAACTCCCAGATACGCTGTTGCCATATAGATCCAAACGTCCAACGAAAGCGGTGATAAAAAAGAAAATAAATTCGGCGGTTGCTTAATCGGTTTCCTATAAAGAATACTGATTCCCAAATTCATAAAAGGCATTGTAAAATCAACAGCTTGCTCCCTATCGTAAGTTATCGTTAAATCAGCTATAGCTAAATCGGCTTTTTGATCCAATAACTCCCTAATCATACCATCCCATTCTTTGGTTTGTCTATTTAACGAACCGTAACGTCCATCCGGAGCTAATCTTATGGTGTAATTAAAACCCAACACTCGGGATATTTCGTGGATTAAATCAACTGCATAACCTTCGTATTGAGCATTACCGGTTAATTGTTCACTTGAATCTTTTCTCATACAATAAGGAGAACTCTAAAAATATAAAGCACTTAATTAATAAAATAAATAGCGAATGGGGCCGTTACACATTTTTTTTTATTGACTTATTCGATAGTTTAGAAAAAATTTTAAAAAACTTTGGTGACGTCACCATCGTTTCATACGCGGTTGGTTGAAATAAAAGTCAATAAAAGGAGCGAGATGCCACGAGAATCTTATACGCTAGAAGAAGAGATCCGAACGATGCACGTTTGTGTCTTCTTGATCTTACGCGAAAACCACGTAAACGTTACCAAAGCTTTTATAGAGGGATTTTGAATTTTAATGTTAATTATTGCCAAAATTAAACAATTTTAGGATCGTAGGATTTTATTCGATTGAAGGTAACGGCCCCATTATGTAGATTAAATTTTTACCAAAATTGTTGTGACAACAAACGTTTTATTTTGAATAATCTCAACAATTTGTGTATAAACCTCCCCGTATGTTCTTGTGAAATTAACCCCTTCCGTTGAATTCCACGTCCCGATTTTCTTTAAACCTTCCCGATTCAATTCAATGATGTCCAAGGCGAAATCGCTACGAAACCCTTGGTGATCGAATTTAATTACACCAGTTAATCCACGCATTTCAACCTGGTGATAAATAATCAATTAAATGATTAATAAACGTGTAATTAAGTTTAACCTACAATTTTCATGTAATTTATAAGACTGTATCCGTGAGGCCAAGTATCCACCGCATCACAACTTAACGGTTTGATGTCGATTTGTTGGCTAGTGTCTAAATCATGGAGAGCTTTTGCGAATAAATGGACGGCGTCGTACATTAATGCCGTTTCCGCTTTTACAAATGTGTTGTTATCCTTTGAATAAAAAGGTTATGTTAAGAAAAGTGTTAATTTCTTTTGCGAAATGACGTTGATTACAGCGCCATCTTTTGACATTTAATTGAATTTCATTAAAAGATTTAAAAATTGCTTAAATATTCGTTGTAATTTCGATATAATAATATAATATTGTGTTAGAATGATTAAATAATAAATCGAAAATGATTATTATTTAGATTACAAAGTCAAAATTAATATAAAATATCAAGAATTGAAGTTAATATGACATGGAAATGTCACAGAGCAAAGATAAATGTCAAAATGACATTAAAAACGTCACATTTTTTATCATATTTTCATCAACAAAAAATCTTTAAATCGATTCTTACCAAATCCAAATGTGTTTTCATGGGAACGGTGGGATAATAATTATTTACCTGGTTGTTTTGTTACCACTTATCATAACTCTATTATATACTGTAAATCACGCCGGCTATTTATGGTCTTCATTGTCTCTGCTGTGTTTTGTAAGCGACCCCGCCTGTGGTAAATTTTTATTTCTTTGAAGCTAATTTTTCTTTATTGTTAACTTACACTTCTTCTAATTTTCTCTTTTTCTTCCATGGATACTAGTTATTCTTCTTCTCCTTTTTCATCCTCTTCTTCTTCATCCTCTTCTTCTTCTACAAGCTCGCTCTTGAATTTACCTCGGTTAACCCTCTCAAACTCCAGTGGAAATGCTGAGGCCGATGAACCGCATAAATTAATAGGGATTCCCCCGTCTAACCTCTTCTCTAATTTTACGAACTGCATCACTCTGTGTCATGTCAATGTCCAGAGTCTAACTGCTCACTTTAATGACTTTTTGATCACATTTGAATCTGGTATTTTTGACATAATCTTAGTGAGTGAAACCTGGCTCAAGCCTTCCCTACATTCTCCTATGTTTGTTCTTCCGGGCTATCGTCTTCTGAGAAATGATCGCGTGTATTCTAGGGGTGGGGGTGTGGCTGCGTATGTCAAAGATCAACTACAGGTTGACTCGATTGAATTGTCCGATGGATCTTCGCGAGCAATGGAATTCCTTTTGATTGAGGTTAAGTGTGTTAATGCTAAACTACTATTGGGTGTTTTTTATTGTCCCCCAATGATGAATTACTTTGAGCAATTTGAGGATCTCCTTGAAAGACATAGTATGTGCTATGACACCATAGTATTAATGGGCGATTTCAATACGTGTACATTGAGAGATGACCTGCGTAGTGATAAACTTCGATTTGTCACTTCTTCCTCAAATCTATCTATCATCCCTTCTCAACCAACCCATCACCTTCCTTCGTCCGACTCTCTGCTTGACTTGATCATGTCGTCTTGCACCGATAAGATTCTTGTTCACGGTCAACTACCTGCTCTGCAATTCTCCAACCATGATCTTATTTATTGCGCTGTCCAAGTCCGAAATGTAGTTTGTCCTCAGCGTAATCTATCTTACCGTGATTTCAAACATGTTGACTATCAACAACTCAACTCTGATGCGCTGAGGATAGACTGGAAACCGTTATATCTTATGACGGACATTGACGCGAAGGTTAACTATTTTAATAATAAAGTAACATGTTTGTATGACAAACATGCTCCGGNATTAGAACTAATACTAGACCTAGAATTAGAAACTTGTGTTTATTTAGGTTATGTTTGTGTCTTTTACGAAATGACATTAATTACAGCGCCATCTTTTGACGTTTAATGAAATTTAATTAAAACATTTACAATTTTTTTAAATATTCGATATTGTCATTTCGTTACAATATGATATTTTGTTAGAATGATTAAATAATAAATCGAAAATGATTATTATTTAGATTACAAAGTCAAAATTAATATAAAATATCAAGAATTGAAGTTAATATGACATGGAAATATCACAGAGCCAAGATAAATGTCAAAATGACATTCAAAACGTCACATTTTTTGTCATATTTTCATCAACAAAAAATCTTTAAATCGATTCTTACCAAATCCCACTTTTTATATCGATTAGTTCTACATAGTAACAGTGCTAGTATAAAAGTGGAACTAACACTAGACCTAGAACCAGAATCATTCGGGTTTAGCCGCACGTCTCTAAAGACGGCTAAACCCGAATGATTCTGATTCTAGGTCTAGTGTTAGTTCTACATAGTAACAGTACTAGTGTAAAACTAGAACTTCTACATAGTAACAGTCTTAGTATAAAATTAGAACTAATACTAGACCTAGAATTAGAAACTTGTGTTTATTTAGGTTATGTTTGTGTCTTTTACGAAATGACATTAATTACAGCGCCATCTTTTGACGTTTAATGAAATTTAATTAAAACATTTACAATTTTTTTAAATATTCGATATTGTCATTTCGTTACAATATGATATTTTGTTAGAATGATTAAATAATAAATCGAAAATGATTATTATTTAGATTACAAAGTCAAAATTAATATAAAATATCAAGAATTGAAGTTAATATGACATGGAAATATCACAGAGCCAAGATAAATGTCAAAATGACATTCAAAACGTCACATTTTTTGTCATATTTTCATCAACAAAAAATCTTTAAATCGATTCTTACCAAATCCCACTTTTTATATCGATTAGTTCTACATAGTAACAGTGCTAGTATAAAAGTGGAACTAACACTAGACCTAGAACCAGAATCATTCGGGTTTAGCCGCACGTCTCTAAAGACGGCTAAACCCGAATGATTCTGATTCTAGGTCTAGTGTTAGTTCTACATAGTAACAGTACTAGTGTAAAACTAGAACTTCTACATAGTAACAGTCTTAGTATAAAATTAGAACTAATACTAGACCTAGAATTAGAAACTTGTGTTTATTTAGGTTATGTTTGTGTCTTTTACGAAATGACATTAATTACAGCGCCATCTTTTGACGTTTAATGAAATTTAATTAAAACATTTACAATTTTTTTAAATATTCGATATTGTCATTTCGTTACAATATGATATTTTGTTAGAATGATTAAATAATAAATCGAAAATGATTATTATTTAGATTACAAAGTCAAAATTAATATAAAATATCAAGAATTGAAGTTAATATGACATGGAAATATCACAGAGCCAAGATAAATGTCAAAATGACATTCAAAACGTCACATTTTTTGTCATATTTTCATCAACAAAAAATCTTTAAATCGATTCTTACCAAATCCCACTTTTTATATCGATTAGTTCTACATAGTAACAGTGCTAGTATAAAAGTGGAACTAACACTAGACCTAGAACCAGAATCATTCGGGTTTAGCCGCACGTCTCTAAAGACGGCTAAACCCGAATGATTCTGATTCTAGGTCTAGTGTTAGTTCTACATAGTAACAGTACTAGTGTAAAACTAGAACTTCTACATAGTAACAGTCTTAGTATAAAATTAGAACTAATACTAGACCTAGAATTAGAAACTTGTGTTTATTTAGGTTATGTTTGTGTCTTTTACGAAATGACATTAATTACAGCGCCATCTTTTGACGTTTAATGAAATTTAATTAAAACATTTACAATTTTTTTAAATATTCGATATTGTCATTTCGTTACAATATGATATTTTGTTAGAATGATTAAATAATAAATCGAAAATGATTATTATTTAGATTACAAAGTCAAAATTAATATAAAATATCAAGAATTGAAGTTAATATGACATGGAAATATCACAGAGCCAAGATAAATGTCAAAATGACATTCAAAACGTCACATTTTTTGTCATATTTTCATCAACAAAAAATCTTTAAATCGATTCTTACCAAATCCCACTTTTTATATCGATTAGTTCTACATAGTAACAGTGCTAGTATAAAAGTGGAACTAACACTAGACCTAGAACCAGAATCATTCGGGTTTAGCCGCACGTCTCTAAAGACGGCTAAACCCGAATGATTCTGATTCTAGGTCTAGTGTTAGTTCTACATAGTAACAGTACTAGTGTAAAACTAGAACTTCTACATAGTAACAGTCTTAGTATAAAATTAGAACTAATACTAGACCTAGAATTAGAAACTTGTGTTTATTTAGGTTATGTTTGTGTCTTTTACGAAATGACATTAATTACAGCGCCATCTTTTGACGTTTAATGAAATTTAATTAAAACATTTACAATTTTTTTAAATATTCGATATTGTCATTTCGTTACAATATGATATTTTGTTAGAATGATTAAATAATAAATCGAAAATGATTATTATTTAGATTACAAAGTCAAAATTAATATAAAATATCAAGAATTGAAGTTAATATGACATGGAAATATCACAGAGCCAAGATAAATGTCAAAATGACATTCAAAACGTCACATTTTTTGTCATATTTTCATCAACAAAAAATCTTTAAATCGATTCTTACCAAATCCCACTTTTTATATCGATTAGTTCTACATAGTAACAGTGCTAGTATAAAAGTGGAACTAACACTAGACCTAGAACCAGAATCATTCGGGTTTAGCCGCACGTCTCTAAAGACGGCTAAACCCGAATGATTCTGATTCTAGGTCTAGTGTTAGTTCTACATAGTAACAGTACTAGTGTAAAACTAGAACTTCTACATAGTAACAGTCTTAGTATAAAATTAGAACTAATACTAGACCTAGAATTAGAAACTTGTGTTTATTTAGGTTATGTTTGTGTCTTTTACGAAATGACATTAATTACAGCGCCATCTTTTGACGTTTAATGAAATTTAATTAAAACATTTACAATTTTTTTAAATATTCGATATTGTCATTTCGTTACAATATGATATTTTGTTAGAATGATTAAATAATAAATCGAAAATGATTATTATTTAGATTACAAAGTCAAAATTAATATAAAATATCAAGAATTGAAGTTAATATGACATGGAAATATCACAGAGCCAAGATAAATGTCAAAATGACATTCAAAACGTCACATTTTTTGTCATATTTTCATCAACAAAAAATCTTTAAATCGATTCTTACCAAATCCCACTTTTTATATCGATTAGTTCTACATAGTAACAGTGCTAGTATAAAAGTGGAACTAACACTAGACCTAGAACCAGAATCATTCGGGTTTAGCCGCACGTCTCTAAAGACGGCTAAACCCGAATGATTCTGATTCTAGGTCTAGTGTTAGTTCTACATAGTAACAGTACTAGTGTAAAACTAGAACTTCTACATAGTAACAGTCTTAGTATAAAATTAGAACTAATACTAGACCTAGAATTAGAAACTTGTGTTTATTTAGGTTATGTTTGTGTCTTTTACGAAATGACATTAATTACAGCGCCATCTTTTGACGTTTAATGAAATTTAATTAAAACATTTACAATTTTTTTAAATATTCGATATTGTCATTTCGTTACAATATGATATTTTGTTAGAATGATTAAATAATAAATCGAAAATGATTATTATTTAGATTACAAAGTCAAAATTAATATAAAATATCAAGAATTGAAGTTAATATGACATGGAAATATCACAGAGCCAAGATAAATGTCAAAATGACATTCAAAACGTCACATTTTTTGTCATATTTTCATCAACAAAAAATCTTTAAATCGATTCTTACCAAATCCCACTTTTTATATCGATTAGTTCTACATAGTAACAGTGCTAGTATAAAAGTGGAACTAACACTAGACCTAGAACCAGAATCATTCGGGTTTAGCCGCACGTCTCTAAAGACGGCTAAACCCGAATGATTCTGATTCTAGGTCTAGTGTTAGTTCTACATAGTAACAGTACTAGTGTAAAACTAGAACTTCTACATAGTAACAGTCTTAGTATAAAATTAGAACTAATACTAGACCTAGAATTAGAAACTTGTGTTTATTTAGGTTATGTTTGTGTCTTTTACGAAATGACATTAATTACAGCGCCATCTTTTGACGTTTAATGAAATTTAATTAAAACATTTACAATTTTTTTAAATATTCGATATTGTCATTTCGTTACAATATGATATTTTGTTAGAATGATTAAATAATAAATCGAAAATGATTAATTACAAAGTAAAAATTAAAATAAAATATCAAGAATTGAAGTTAATATGAGATGGAAATGTCACAGTGTCAAGCAACATAAATGTCAAAATGACATTTTATTAAAAACGTTACATTTTTGATTATATTTTCATCAAAAAAAAATCTTTATATCTATTCTTACCAAATCGGACTTTTTATTTTGATTATCTTTCGATTAGTTCTACATAGTAACAGTGTTAGTGTAAAAGTAGAACTAAGATTAGACCTAGAACTAGAGTCATTCTCATTCTAATGATAGTGCTAGTGTAAAACTAGAACTAACACTAGACCTAGAACTAGAAACATTCGGGTTGGCCGTGCGTCTGAAGACGCAACCAGAAACTTTCTAGTTCTAGGTCTAGTGTTGGTTCTAGTTTTAATTGTTATTCAGCGCTACATTGTTGTATATCTTTATTGAAGTAGTTGAAAAGTTAAATGTATGTACGTATTAGAAAAGTACGTATATTAGATTATAGGTATATAGTAGAACTAGAGAAGTAGAACATTTTTGCCGTCTTTAGAGACATTTCGTTACAATATGATATTTTATTAAAATAATAAATTGATAATGACTAATGACAAAGTCAAAATTAAAATAAAATATCAAGAATTGAAGTTAATATGACATTTAACTTCAATTCTTGTCAAATATCAATCTAAATGTCAAAATGACATTAAAAACGTCACATTTTTTATCACATTTTAAATTATTAATTCTTACCAAATCGGATTTTTTATTTCGATTATCAGTAGGTAAAGACCAATCTTTAACGATCGATCTAACATCCGAACCTTCCGGATCGACCAATCTAAAGGCGGTGATGTTTGTGCCTCCATATTTAAACTCTTCTAAATCGACACAATGCAAATCTAAAGAGGTGATTAAGTAGCTGTGATAATCGCTCATCATTCCGATTTGTTGAGCCTGTTTTAAGACATCATAAATTCTATCGGTCGAGCAATCTAATACAACATGAGATTCGGCCGAATTTTTAATTTGCTTCAAAAGAGGTCTATAAAAAAGTTAAATGAATCGATTTTTTTGAATCCCAACGGACGTTGGGTGTGTTGTTTTAATTAGTTTGAGTGGTACCTGTAATCGGATCCTTCACCTAATTGTCTCACGGTTATAGGAAATTCATACGGCCCATGAGCTTTTAAAAGTTCTTGTAAACGAACTAAACCTTCGTTGTTCTCGTAAATTATCGTAAAAGATTTCCAACCCCATGCTTTAACTAAATCAACGTAAGCCTAATTAAATAAAAAATTATTAATTATGAATCGGATTAAAGAAAACAGAAAATACTTTTGATAACGTCGTCGGATGTGGATATAAATTAACCAAACAACTCTCCCTTCTTAAACGGTAATCCCAACGCGTTTCCAAATGTGGAATTTCCATCGTATCGCAAATTGATTGTACGTGGCTGGCGGTGTGCGCCGATTGTGGACCAAAAATAGCAGCAACACCACTTCTTAAAAGATGACAGACTTTTTTTGACGCGTGAAAACTATCTTGAGGCGACATCCTTTCGATTTGGGCACTCAATTTCGAACGTGGCAAAATCGTACGATCGTTATTTATCTTTTCAACTGCGTATCGAAACGCGATTTCTTGTCTATCATCCGCGGGATGAAATAAACCACCTTAATCAAAATAATTAATTTTACTCATTAAATAAATTAAAATGAATTTCTCACCAATTCTTATCACCTCCGGTAATAAAAAAACCTCATTTATCATACAAAACCCAACAATTATTAATGATATGTATTCCATTTTCTTTTTCTACTTGATTAGTTCACTTAAAACAATGAGGGTCGTTGGTGAAGTGGGCGGACATGAAAAGCTCACATCGAATCGAACACTTTTGATAAGCTCAAATTGGTATATTTTGATTTGATGATCTATTCGAAACGTGATGTATCATTTTTTCGATTAAAATAAGCCGTAATTTCAATATTTGTTGACTCTTTTTGTTGCGAATTTACGTAAACGCGATACGTTGAAAGTTCGAGCTTTACTGCTGCGGGTTATGGACCGCAGCAGATTCAGGGATGCGAGCTTTTGCGCAGAAGCTTTATCATCCCGTTTGTATTACTATAGCTGCAGGGAGTTTAATTTTTTTTTTAGAAAGAAAAGGGATGTTTAAATATTAAAATTCGTAATCAACACTTCAATTTAGATTTATTATCATATCACAAAAAAAAAAGAAAAGAACAAATATAAGATTTTTAAGGAGGGTTTTCGTAGACATTGATAAACGGTGGTTTTCGTTAGGCAATTAATAAAGCCGGGGGTTCAAAAAGAAAGAGGAAGGTTCCGTTTTCTCTCTAGAATTCCCAGACTGACGCGTTGACGGATCAATTCTTCTTCCTCCGATAGATGTTAGTCCGACTTTGTTGGAAGAATTTCTTCTTCGTGTGATCGAAAAATAAAAACGAGATCCGATCTATTCTTGGACCGTTGACAACAAATGTCCATTTCTCTTCCCCACGAGTGACTATAAATTATTTTTAGATACACACAGAAGTAATTTTAAAACCAGTCTTACTTGATTCATTTCCTAAAACGCATCTAAATGATAATCGTAGATTTCGTATACTTGCTTGTGTTCGTTATAAATGTGGCAAAATGTGGAAAACCGATCGAAATCGCGATATTACTTGACAACGAAACCGACCAAGACTTGTATAAAGTGATCGATTATATCGCGAGAAGACATCAAGTCGATTCCAAATATGTATTAACCCCCCAAATAATTAACGTCAAAGATATGGATAGTTTACGGTTGGAACAAACAATTTGCAACAACCACCTAGCCCAAAGAGGAATTCACGCCATTTTTGGATCATCACCAAACAATGATATAGTTCAATCCATCTCTAGGAACCTCGAAATAGTTCAATTTCAAAACTTTTTTAACCCGGATATTGAACGGGACGTTTTTAGTCAAGAAAAACCTGAAGAAACTACCATTTTTAATTTATACCCTGAGTTTAAATTATTTGCGAAAGCTTTAGCCGCTTTAGTTAATGATATGGATTGGAGAACTTATACTATTATTTATGAGGATGATAATAGTTTAATTCGTTTACAAGAGGTTTTAAAAATCAGTCAAAACGATGATTTTCCGGTTAAAATACGCAAATTATTACCGGGGGATGATCAAAGGTACGTTTTGTTAATTCTTAAAAGTAATTGTTAGAATCTTCTTAGAACCTATGCTTTAGTTCCACCAAATAATAAGTGAGGTTGGGTTGTTAAGCGTTCCTAAAAGTATTAGAACACAAAAAACTTTAAATTGTATAAAAATCTAGTTCTAGTTTTACACTAGCACTATCACTAGAACTAACACTATACCTAGAACTAGAATCATTTGGGTTTAGCCGTCTTAAGAGACGTGCTGCAATAATCTAGCGCTGATTAACAATTAAAATTAGACTACAATTTTTTTAAATATTCATTGTCATTTCGTCACAATATGATATTTTGTTAGAATGATTAAATAATAAATCGAAAATGACAAAATTCAAAGTCAAAATTAAAATAAAATATTAAGAATTGAAGTTAATACGAGAGGGAAATGTCACAATGTCAAGCTAAATGTCAAAATGACATTAAAACGTCACATTTTTTATCATATTTTCATCAAAAAATATTTAAATTATCGATTCTTACCAAATCAGACTTTTTATTTCGATTATTGTACATTAACGCCGTTTTAGCTTTTACAAATGTGTTGTTATCCTTTGAATAAAAAGGTTATGTTGAAAAAAATGTGTCTTGTGTTTATTTGGGTCATGTTTGTCTCTTTTGCGAAATGACGTTAATTACAGCGCCATCTTTTGACATTTAATCAAATTTAATTAACACATTTACAATTTTTTTTAAATATTCATTGTCATTTCGTTACAATATGATATTTTGTTAGAATGATTAAATAATAAATCGAAAATGACTAAATACAAAGTCAAAATTAAAATAAAATATCAAGAATTGAAGTTAATATGACAGGAAAATGTCACAATGTCAAGCTAAATGTCAAAATGATATAAATTAATAATTATTAATAAGTTCTTAATTTTTTATTGATCTTATTATCAACTTACCGGCGATTCTAGATAGAGAAAGAATTAAGCATTCAAATGATGCATTTAGTTTTTCGCTATCTCTAATAATCAGGAAGATATCAACTAAGAAAGTAGATAGGAAATTATGGGTAAAAGTTTGTTGCTGGGAGGATTGTTGCCATTGTCACACTGGTTCTCTAGTGTTAGTCTAATTTTATTTGTTAATTCAGCGCTAGATTGTTGTATATTTTTATTGAGCTATAACGGACACTACTCCGTATTGATCGTACAATTTCTTGAGAAAAAAATTATCTCAACAAAGACATATTTCACACATTTCCAAGTGCATACAAACTCTCCTACAAAATAAATTATTAATAATAAACGATATGCAGATGAAAATTGAGTAAAGTAATTCATAACCTCAAACCAAAACAATTCTTTCTTTTTATTCTCACTGAACGGGTTGTGTAATTACTTAACTGATTCTCTCACTTATCGGGGGGCCTAAAACGGCTTAATTTATATTATAAAGCCCAGCACACCATCTAATACTTGAAATGAATTTTAGATTTTAATGTGAAGGTAAAAACATAACCTTTTTCGACAACTAATTTGTTGACATTTGTCGTTATTACCAACCTTGAAAATCAAAATGAGTTAAATTATTTTGTAATTGATCTGTGGTAATTGATAACTTGTAATGTCTTTTAATACATTAATGTTTGCTTATTGAAGAAAATTATTGATTTTTTATTAATGTTTTATTGACATTGCGATGATGAAGTTGGTAATGGAAAAAATTAATATTTTTTAAATATAAATTAATATATAATAATTTTAATTTAAACTAATTACATTATATATTACTATTATTCTCATTTTTTTTAAGTATTAATTATTTATTTTAATTTAATGATTTTAACTTCAAATATCAGCGTATGGTAACATTGCTTTTCAAACGTCAATTATGAAATTTTGATATTTAACATAACCTCAATTATTATTGCTATATTCTAATTATTAATTTTAGGCCCCTTTTAAAAGAAATGAAGCTAAAATCCGAATTAAATATAATATTAGATTGCTCCCCGGATAAAATAATCGGATTTTTACAACAAGCTTCAATTTATAATTTAACCGGAGAATATTACAATTACATTTTAACATCGTTGGATGCGCACACGTTGGATTTTGCTGATATTATCGATTATGGCGCGAATATAACAACTTTGAGATTAATAGATCCAAATAGCGAACAAATTAAGTACATGGTAAAAGATTTTAAATTAATGGGAGATCAATACAACGAAGACTTTAAAGCAACATCCAGTTTATTTCAATTAAAAACCGCCTTAATATACGATAGCTTAGTAATTTTTTTAACAGCCTTCGAACAATTATCATTAAGACATCCCCCGGTGGCATTACCGCAAAATTGCAAGATTCCTGAACCATCAAAAGACGGATTTAGAATTGCCGAATACATAAAAAGCGTAATTTTCGAAATAAATTAAAAAAAAAATTAATTAATTTTTATTACTTTTATAGAAAACCTTTGAAAACGAAACTATACACGGTCCAATATCCGGTCCGATAAGATTTGATAAATTCGGACGAAGAATTAATTTTAAACTCGAAATAATCGAACTCATAAAAGATGGATTTCGATTATCGGCTAATTGGTTTTCGGAAAATCCAAAAAAATTAGAATACGTCGTAAGTGAAGAAGAGCGAAAACAAGAATTCGAAAAACACATTACCCAAAAAGTATTTCGCGTCGTTTCGCGAATTGGAGCTCCTTACTTAATGTATGCGAAACCCACGAAAAAAGGGCAAATTTTGGAAGGAAACGCACGGTTCGAAGGCTTTTCTATGGATATAATCGATGAGATAGCGAACATTTTGAATTTTACTTATCAATTCGAATTGGTCCATGATAACAATTATGGAAGTTACGATCCGGTTAAAAAGGAATGGAACGGTTTGGTTCGTAACATTTTAGATTGGAAGGCCGATTTGGCAATTTGCGATTTAACGATAACTTATGAAAGGGGAAAAGCCGTTGATTTTTCTATGCCTTTTATGACTTTGGGGATAAGCATCTTGTTTAGCAAGGATACTAAACAGCCGACGAATCTTTTTGCGTTTATGAAACCTTTGTCTTTGGATATTTGGCTTTATATGGCAACAGCTTTTGTTGTTATGTCTATTTTGATTTATGTAGCGGCAAGGTGAATCTAAAATTATTTTTTGGGTGTAATGTTAAATGTTGTTTTTTAGGTTAGCCCCTCAAGATTGGGAAAATCCGCATCCTTGCGATCCCCATCCGAAAGAATTAGAGAACATTTGGAGCTTAAAAAATTGTTTTTGGTTAACGATGGGGTCAATTATGGCTCAAGGATGCGATATTTTACCGAAGTAAGTTAATTCTTTTGGTGTTTTGGGATTTTGTTTAAATGGAGGAAATAGAAAAGAATCTATCTAAAGGGGAAGCGGCGTTTTCGGGCGCATTCCGTGAGAGATCCCGTAGGGAGTCTCTCTCTCTTTCTGTTTCTCCCCCTTTTGGTCGCTACGGATCGCCATCAATATTAATATGGCGACGACTCGGCGAGATCAAAAGAACCGACGTTCTGAGAAGCGCGTGCCACGACGTCGCCGGCACCCCCCTTCGGCCCCCTTCTTTACGACATTCTGCTCGCTTCCTTCTACGACCTCTCAAAGGCGCCGACGTCGTCGCGGTCTCCTCTCTCTTCTTCTTCTTTAACTTTTTCCTCTCATCTTTTCCACCTTCTCTTCTTAATCTATAGTTATCTTTACTTATTTTTCATTATTTTTTCTTATTTTTCAATTCCCATTTTAATACAGTTAAACCTCAATATAACGAACCTTGTTAGAACGGACTTCGGATATAACGAACAAAATATTTTTAACTCTACCTTTCTATTTAAGTCTTTTAAACATATCTTGTTGACAAAAGATTTTAATACGATTAATAATTTTAAGATACCTGGTGCTACCTGGCGCTACCAGAAGATACGAAAAATTTTTATTAAAATAATCGATTTCAAATTAATGTTGTATCAGACATTTTTCGATTAAAACAACATGTCGTCAATTGCGGTGACATTTAATGTACCATACTATTCACAGGGAAATTAAAATTTTGTTATTTTAAAAATTTTTATTAACAAAAGTTGTTGATAACGTAATTGTAAACACATCTTGTTAACAAAAAATTTTAATACGATTAATAATTATTAAGATAACCTCAAAAACATAATTTTCTATAACAGTATACAGCGCTACCTGGTGGAGATATAAAGAAATTGTATTAAAATAATCGATTTGAAATCAAATTTTAAATCAAAGTTGTATCAAACATTTTTCGATTCAAACAACATGTCGTCAATTGCTGTGACATTTAATGTACCATACTATTCACAGGGAAATTAAAATTTAGTTATTTTAAAAACTTTTATTAACAAAGTTGTTGATAACGTAATTGTAAACACATCTTGTTAACAAAAAATTTTAATACGATTAATAATTATTAAGATAACCTCAAAAACATAATTTTCTATAACAGTATACAGCGCTACCTGGTGAAGATACGAAAAATTTTTATTAAAATAATCGATTTGAAATCAAATTTTAAATCAAAGTTGTATGAAACATTTTTCGATTAAAACAACATGTCGTCAATTGCTGTGACATTTAATGTACCATACTGTTCACAGGGAAATTAAAATTTTGTTATTTTAAAAATTTTTATTAACAAAAGTTGTTGATAACGTAATTGTAAACACATCTTGTTAACAAAAAAATTTGATACGATTAATAATTATTAAGATAACCTCAAAAACATAATTTTCTATAACAGCATACAGCGTAATCTGGTGGAGATACGAGAATTTTTTATTAAAATAATCGATTTGAAATCAAATTTTAAATCAAAGTTGTATGAAACATTTTTCGACTAAAACAACATGTCGTCAATTGCGGTGACATTTAATGTACCATACTATTCACAGGGAAATTAAAATTTAGTTATTTTCAAAATTTTTATGAACAAAAGTTATTGATAACGTAATTGTAAACACATCTTGTTAACAAAAAACTTTAATACGATTAATAATTATTAAGATAACCTCAAAAACATAATTTTCTATAACAGTATACAGCGCTACCTGGTGGAGATATAAAGAAATTGTATTAAAATAATCGATTTGAAATCAAATTTTAAATCAAAGTTGTATCAAACATTTTTCGATTAAAACAACATGTCGTCAATTGCGGTGACATTTAATGTACCATACTATTCACAGGGAAATTAAAATTTTGTTATTTTAAAAATTTTTATTAACAAAAGATGTTTATAACTTAATTGTAAACATATCTTGTTAACAAAAAATTTTAATACGATTAATAATTATTAATATAACCTCAAAAACATAATTTTGTATAACAGCATACAGCGTAATCTGGTGGAGATACGAGAATTTTTTATTAAAATAATCGATTTAAAATCAAATTTTAAATCAAAGTTGTATCAAACATTTTTCGATTAAAACAACATGTCGTCAATTGCGGTGACATTTAATGTACCATACTATTCAGAGGGAAATTAAAATTTCANCATAAAACACATCCAATAAGTTATTTTAATCCATCCATCAGTAGTACCAACTCAACTCAAAAATAAAACCAAATTTTGATGTTTTTGATCATTTTCGGTTATAACTCATTAATTTTTTATGATAGAGAATTATTTTTTAAATAAAAAATGATTAAAATTAACTCATAAGACGTATTGAGTAAAGATATTTACTCCACCAATCAGCACTACCAACCCAACTTGAGAGAAATAGAAATTTTGGCGTTTTCATCAATTTTCTTTTATAACTCATTAATTATATCTGATGGAAAAAACTTTTCATACAAAAAAGGTTTAGAATTAACCCATAAAACATGTCCAATAAAGTTATTTTAATCCATCGATCAGTAGTACCAACCCAACCCAAAAATAAAACCAAATTTTGTTTTTTTGATCATTTTCGGTTATAACTCATTAAATGTGCGTGATAGAGAATTATTTTTTAAATAAAAAATCTTTAGAATTAACTCATAAGGCGTATNAAACATTTTTCGATTAAAACAACATGTCGTCAATTGCGGTGACATTTAATGTACCATACTATTCACAGGGAAATTAAAATTTTGTTATTTTAAAAATTTTTATTAACAAAAGTTGTTGATAACGTAATTGTAAACACATCTTGTTAACAAGAAACTTTGATACGGTTAATAATTATTAAGATAACCTCAAAAACATAATTTTCTATAACAGCATACAGCGCTTCCTAGTGAAGATACGAAAAACTTTTAGTAAAATAATCAATTCGAAATCAAATTTTAAATCAAAATTGTTTCAAACATTTTTCGATTAAAACAACATGTCGTCAATTGCGGTGACATATAATGTACCATACTATTCACAGGGAAATTAAAATTTTGTTATTTTAAAAGATGTTATTAACAAAAGATGTTGATAACTTAATTATAAACCCATCTTGTTGACAAAAAATTTTAATACGATTAATAATTATTAAGATAACCTCAAAAACATAAATTTCTATAACAGTATACAGCGCTACCTGGTGAAGATACGAAAAACTTTTATTAAAATAATCGATTTGAAATCAAATTCTAAATCAAAGTTGTATCAAACATTTTTCGATTAAAACAACATGTCGTCAATTGCGGTGACATTTAATGTACCATACTATTCAGAGGGAAATTAAAATTTAGTTATTTCAAAAATTTTTATAAACAAAAGTTGTTGATAACGTAATTGTAAACACATCTTGTTAACAAAAAATTTTAATACGATTAATAATTATTAAGATAACCTCAAAAACACAAATTTCTATAACAGTATACAGCGCTACCTGGTGAAGATACGAAAAACTTTTATTAAAATAATCGATTTGAAATCAAATTCTAAATCAAAGTTGCTTCAAACATTTTTCGATTAAAACAATATGTCGTCAATTGCTGTGACATTTAATGCACCATACTATTCACAAGGAAATTAAAATTTTGTTATTTTAAAAATTTTTATTAACAAAAGTTGTTGATAACGTAATTGTAAACACATCTTGTTAACAAAAAATTTTAATACGATTAATAATTATTAAGATAACCTCAAAAACATAATTTTCTATAACAGTATACAGCGCTACCTGGTGGAGATATAAAGAAATTGTATTAAAATAATCGATTTGAAATCAAATTTTAAATCAAAGTTGTATCAAACATTTTTCGATTAAAACAATATGTCGGCAATTGCTGTGACATTTAATGTACCATACTATTCACAGGGAAATTAAAATTTTGTTATTTTAAAAATTTTTATTAATAAAAGTTGTTGTACACATCTTAAACTCACTATATTTTAATAACTTTTAGAGGAGTTTCAACAAGAACAATCGCTGGAATGTGGTGGTTCTTCTCCTTAATCATAACCTCCTCATACACGGCAAACTTAGCGGCGTTTTTAACAAACGAGCGTTTAGGACCAACAATAGAAAACGCGGAAGATTTAGCGAAACAAAGCGAAATAAAATACGGTTGTCTTCAAGGAGGTGCAACATCGACGTTTTTCCGTGATTCGAATTTCTCGACGTACCAAAAGATGTGGCGTTCGATGCAGATAGCTCAACCGAGTGTTTTTGAAAGTAATAACAAGGATGGGGTTAAAAGGGTAATTTCGAGTAAGCAGAAATACGCGTTTTTAATGGAAAGCTCTACGATTGAATACGAAATGGAACGAAATTGTGATTTGATTCAGGTCGGGGGGTGGTTGGACACGAAGAATTACGGAATCGCGATGCCGATGAGTACAATTAAAATTAATTTAGATTTAAGATGATTGTGTAATTTAATTTTAGACTCGCCATATAACGCAGCTATTAGTAGGGCGGTTTTAAAGATGCAAGAAGAACAGAAATTACATAAACTTAAAGAGAAATGGTGGAAGGAAATGTATGGTGGGGGTCAATGTGGAGTAAATAGTTCTTTATTTTTATAATGATTTATTTTAATTTTATAATTACAGCAAGAAGAAACGTCTTCGGATGATTCAGCGGCCGAACTTGGGATAGACCACGTCGGTGGGGTTTTTGTTGTACTTCTAGGCGGACTTGGAATCGCGTTAATTATTGCAATTGCTGAGTTTTTATGGAACGTAAGAAAAGTATCCGTTGAAACTCAGGTTACTTAAATAAAAATAATTTCAAAGTGTAATCATTAATTTGAATTATTCTTTTAGATTTCACCCAAAGAAGCGTTTCTAAACGAATTAAAGTTTGCCGTCGATGTTTCGAAGAGAAAGAAAGCTGTGTTAAAACGAAATAATTCGTGATTAATTATGTATCAATTAAAAATGGGCTTCTAAGATTCGTATTATTTTAGGTTCATGAAACGGTCTCTTATTTAATTTTACGCTTCTTCGATATACATTTTCAACATCATGAACGCGCTCTAAAATTTCATTTTCGTCGAGCATCAATATCTCCGCTTGCTTTTTATTCTCCTCATCTTGTTTGCGATAACTTTCGAAATACTCAGTGGCCGTTTCAAATTTAACCCGATAACATTCATTTTCTTCTTTTAATCTTTGGATTTCCTCGATGATTTCGTTCCTCCAAGCCGCGTCTTTTTTCCGTTCTTCCTCCAAGTCCTCGCAGATTTTCCGTAACGATTTTACCTCCTCGTCTAATTTCTCAAAATCAGCATAAACTTCTTTCGTGCAGCTCTCGATCGGGGCTTTCCCTTCCATTTTTATGAACTTTTCGACTGCGCGAGATATTAAAATACCCTCCCAGTTCATAGTTTAACATAAAAAAAGATTGACACCGAAATAACGTCATATAAAATCTATGTATGTATGTAGTACCAACCCAATCTAAAAACAAAACCAAATTTTGACGTTTTTGATCATTTCCGGTTATTACTTATTGTTGATGCGTGATGGAGAATTATTTTTTAAACAAAAAATGTTTAGAATTAACTCGTAAGACGTATTGAATAAAGATATTTATTCCATCAATCAGCATTACCAACCCAAATAAGAAAAATAGAAATTTTAACGTTTTCATCTATTTTCTTTTATAACTCATTAATTATATCTGATGGAAAAAAACTTTTCATACAAAAAATATTTAGAATTAACCCATAAAACACATCCAATAAGTTATTTTAATCCACCCATCAGTAGTACCAACTCAACCCAAAAATAAAACCAAATTTTGATGTTTTTGATCATTTTCGGTTATAACTCATTAATTTTTTATGATAGAGAATTATTTTTTAAATAAAAAATCTTTAGAATTAACTCATAAGACGTATTGAATAGAGATATTTATTCCATCAATCAGCATTACCAACCCAACTTTAGAAAAATTTAAATTTTGACGTTTTCATCAATTTTCCTTTATAACTCATTAATTATATCTGATGGAAAAAAACTTTTCGTACAAAAAAGATTTAGAATTAACCCATAAAACACATCCAATAAGTTATTTTAATCCATCCATCAGTAGTACCAACTCAACTCAAAAATAAAACCAAATTTTGATGTTTTTGATCATTTTCGGTTATAACTCATTAATTTTTTATGATAGAGAATTATTTTTTAAATAAAAAATGATTAAAATTAACTCATAAGACGTATTGAGTAAAGATATTTACTCCACCAATCAGCACTACCAACCCAACTTGAGAGAAATAGAAATTTTGGCGTTTTCATCAATTTTCTTTTATAACTCATTAATTATATCTGATGGAAAAAACTTTTCATACAAAAAAGGTTTAGAATTAACCCATAAAACATGTCCAATAAAGTTATTTTAATCCATCGATCAGTAGTACCAACCCAACCCAAAAATAAAACCAAATTTTGTTTTTTTGATCATTTTCGGTTATAACTCATTAAATGTGCGTGATAGAGAATTATTTTTTAAATAAAAAATCTTTAGAATTAACTCATAAGGCGTATTGAATAGAGATATTTATTCCATCAATCAGCATTACCAACCCAACTTTAGAAAAATTTAAATTTTGACGTTTTCATCAATTTTCCTTTATAACTCATTAATTATATCTGATGGAAAAAAAATTTTAATACAAAAAATATTTAGAATTAACCCATAAAACACATCCAATAAGTTATTTTAATCCATCCATCAGTAGTACCAACTCAACCCAAAAATAAAACCAAATTTTGATGTTTTTGATAATTTTCGGTTATAACTTATTAATTATGCATGATGGAGACTTATTTTTTAAATAAAAAATGATTAAAATTAACTCATAAGACATATTGAGTAATACTTAAGAAAAATAGAAATTTTGACGTTCCGATTTCGAGAACTAGAATCATGCGAGCCGTCTTGAGAGACGTACGGCTTAGTGGTTCTAGTTCTAGGTCTAGTGTTAGTTCTACTTTTAGTTCAATTAAAAATATTCAACAATCTAACGCTGAATAACAGCTAAAATAATACCCCGAGGTTGGATTCTATCTATGAGCGCTAACATTTATATTTAAATATATTAATGTGTTAAACAGATATGAGTTAAAAATATTTGGTCCGTTATATCCGAAGTCCGTTTTAACGAGATCTGTTATATCGAGATTTTACTGTACTTGTTTTTATTTCTTCTTCGTCTTGCGAGAGTGAGAGTGTGCGTGTCGGTTCGCTTCTTTACCGGCCGAGGCTCATTTGCGGTATGCTTTACGGCGGACCCCGGTCGGCCCACATCAAACGATCAGCTTGTTTACATAATAGTGGTCTACGGCAACCGGAAACAATATGAGCCGGCGCGGCCAGGATCAAAGAGCTTTCTTGCAGCTGCCTTCCCCTACCAACCACTTCGAAAAAATTCATTTTCCATCTTTCTTTACTTCGTTGACGTCTGATCAAAGCACCTGCAATCTTAAAATCCAACAATTATAAATTTATGAATCTATTTTAATTTTTTTTGATGTTTTCTTAAACGGATCTGATTCGAGATAACAATAAGGGTCACCGAGGGGGACGTCGTTGTGCTGTCCATCAAATGGATCAGGTGGCTTCTTCTAGGGTCCCGTCGTCGGTCGTCTTCGTTGGGTGGATTTAAAAGGCGCGGTAAACCAGGTAAACTTGAGAGTAAAAGATTATTCGATAACGTCTTCGGCCCTCCGACGAGGCCCTCGTATAAGGCCTCTGGCAGGCCGCGGCCTCACCAGTGGCTCATTGGCGTCCGGCGCGGCCGGTTTGCAGACTCCAATAGGAGGGCACGTGCGCGAATCTTAAACATTTTAAATATCGATTTAAAGATAATCATTTTTAAATTAATTGTGGTGATCACCTTAATTTTTTTCTCGTCGATGAAACATAACTTACCAAATGGAAATGATTTTATTTGTGCAGGTAAATAATTTAAGTTAATTTAATAGGTTAAGCTATAAAACGTCAAAATGACATTGACAGTTACAAGTTCAAAAAAATATTTTTTTTTATTAATAAAAAAAGAAAAAAACGGGGCGCCGCGCTGTAGGATGTTGAGCGAATTGAGAGGGGGGACTCTGCGCCGCGGTGCTTCTCCGCGGGGCTCCGATTATTAGTGGCCCATTATTAATACGGGCCGGCAAACTTCAAAAGGTACGGCTTGTTTCATGCCTGTCTAAATTTGAGTTTCTTATCGTCCTGGCGGCATCTATCGATCAAAAAAAAAAAGAAATAATAATAAACGGGGAATCCCACACAAATAGAAAATATTTTTTTATTAATAAGTCCTAGTTAAGAAAAATAAAGAAAATGTTAAACGACTAGATTTTTTTCCATCGTCTTTCTTCGCCCGGCGGCGTCATTATTTGCGGCGGTAGCACAGAGAGCGCAAGAGATTGCGGTCCCCTTTGATCTAAGCCGAAGACGTCCTCGAGCGTACGGTAGCAACAGGTCAATATACAGCTCTCTCTTGCTACCGGTCTACGCCGAGAGATTCCGTCCCTTCTCTTCACCTCGCTTAAAAAGGATCTCATCGTAACATGATGCCGTGATAATTAGTGATTTACCGGATAAGATTTCGTTTTTCTTTTTCTAAGCTTAAAGTTCGAATGTAAGTGGTAATTAATTTCCTTCCCTCTCCTCTTCGGCGCCTTCTAAAAAGGTAGAGAGAGAGGAGGAGAAGTGCTGCCGTTGACGTGACCTACCGCAACGTCTCCTTCGAAGTGTCCACGTGTTTGACGAGATTTACGGCACCTGTCTTTGAATGAGGAGGGGGTCGGGTTCGGAAAAGAGGTAACAACGTTGGGTCGCCGCCACGCGGTCTTTTGAAAAAGGGTACACCGAAAAGAAGGAAGAAAGAAAGAAAAAAAATTAATGGGGGCCGGGGCATTAATAATTTATCGACAATTAAGATATTGCGCAAGCGGTCGGCCCGTTTGATCCTCAGAAGGCGGTCTCCTCTTGGAGCCGCTGCTGACAAATAGACAATTCGAGACAGGGGCGTCGCCTATCTCGGATGCCAAAAATGTTTCCTCTTTCAAAACCTTTGTGTTGCATGCCGCCCCTCTTACGACGTTCGTTCTTCGTTTCCTTCGTGTAGTAGTCCTCTCTTCTTCGTTCTTACCGCCCCTCATCAAAATCCCACCGCTTTCCTCGTTCCTTGCCGTAATTCTCCGCGCGTCTCTTCTCCATCCGTCGTCGGTAGCAGAGATAATAAGGGAGTTAGGCCTTCTCCTTTGATCTGACCGCGCCGCTTTGCTCACCTACACTGTTTTTAAAATTAAATTACTCCTTCTTGATTCTTGATCTTCACTGTTCGTAATGCCGGCCAGCAATCATTCCACTAAAAGATTGAATTATCTACAATTACAACAACCTTTTCTTCTATATTCAATACTCATCAATCTTCATATATATCTAGAAGAAGCAAATAAGAAAAGAAATTTTCTAAAAGAAAAAAAAAAGTAAGATGCTAAGATGGGTTAACCTCGTCGTCTCGTTAATTGGAGAGATACTCTGATGATACGCGACGATCGTCGATGTTAGGTAGGTCCCGTGGGGGATTCTCTCGTTATGGTGCCTCAAAGGCACGCACCGAGTCGCGACCCGTTTGGGGGCCGCGAAGACGACGACCGTTCCCCCGCGCGCGCCAAAGATGGGCTACAAGAAACGTACCGTTAATTAACTTACGCACACATTTGCCAACACCACAAGGATGTATTATTTCTTTTTATCTTTGATCCGCTGCCAAGAAACTTTTTTGCCTTTAACTAGTTTAAAATTAATACGACTTTTATCTAGTTATTTATATGATATTCAACGAAATAAACTTGTAAAAGCTTCATCTCGTGAAATAAATTGAAGTTTGTTTTAAAACTGTCAATTCTGACAAATCAAAAATAAAGTGAAGTTAGTTACATTCAGATTGGTTTTCTTTTTGTAATTTATTTTTAAATTTACGAAAATTTTAATTAAACAACTTATTTAACCATAAATTGTACATTTTGACAAATAAGTTAATATAAAAAACAAAAATTTATTATCATAAGTGACATATATAGTTTCAATTATAATCGATAGATGGCACTAATTAACATTTTATTAATAACATTTACATTATTTTGTATTTATTTTAGTATGTACATTACTTTCATAAATACATTGAAACATCAACATCTTTTCATCAATTGAGGTTGGTGTATTAACATAAATTTATAAAAGCTTAAAACTGTCTATTATGATTATGACAAATCAAAAATAAATTGAAGTTAGCTACGTTTAGATTAATTTTCTTATTGTAATTTATTTTTAAATTTACAAAAATTTTAATTAAACAACTTATTTTAATCATAAATTACCCATTTTGGCAAATAAATTATTGTAGAAAACAAAAATGTATCATAATTGACATTTATAGTTTCAATTATAATCGATAGATGGCGCTAATTAACATTGTTTATTTTGTTATAAATTATAAATATTAATTTCATAAATAAATTAATACATAAATGATCTTCGTAAATAATATGAAGTAATATATGTTATGTTATCCGTCGTACAATTATAACAATAACAATAACCCCTAAATTATATTTTATCAACAAATATAGTACTTAACCAAAGTTTATTTAATTAAAAACTATTAATAAAAAGCTTTATTTAATCTCTTATTTGTTATAGATAACAATTCTGCAACTAGCACTTTGTTCAACGGTGCCAACAATTTCGAACCGAGCCGATTTAAATAACACAATAATAAAAACGGAATTGACCAATGTAACAACGGAAAATCGAACCCAAAACGAAGCTAAAGCTTTAAAAAAGGTTTACTTATCGAATCGGACAATAACGTGTAACGATGGATCTCAATCGGGGTAATATTACAACGATAATCGAATTTTCGCTAATTAACCTAGAAATTTTATTCTTTTATTGCAGTTTTTATCTGCGGCGATCTCATTTAAGTAAGAAATGGATTGTTTTTCTGGAGGGTGGGTGGTACTGTTACGATCATCCAAGTTGTCAAAATCGTTGGGTTAAACAACGACACTACATGACTTCCTCGCAATGGCCGGAAACTCGAGACGGTAAGCAAATTGATACTTATTTTGGTGTAATTCAAGAATCATCATGTCGCTTATATTCGGGTTTAGCCGTGCGTCTGTACCCGAAACTTTCTAGTTCTAGTGTTAGGTCTAGTTTCACACTAGCACTAGCAAAGATTCTAGTTTATGATGTGATATAAAAACTATAAGATATTATTGAAATTTCGAAGAAAAACTGATTAAAGAAGAAACTGTCAAATTTATAGATCAAAGAAAATACTATATTTTCAAAAACTCATATCTACTGTGTTTTTAAGAATCATGATATGATAAGTATGTTAAATTGAAGCTTAAAGATTCTAGTTTATGATGTGATATAAAAACAATAAGATAATATTATTGAAATTTAAAAGAAAAACTGATTAAAGAAGAAACTGTCAAATTTATAAATCAAAAAAAATACTAAATTTTCAAAACATCATATCTACTGTGTTTTTAAGAATCATGATATGATATGTATGTTAAATTGTAGCTTAAAGATTCTAGTTATTATGTGATATACTTAAAAACAATAAGATAATATTGTTGAAATATCCAAGCAATATAGCACAATCTAACGCTAAATAACATTTAAAACTAGAACTAACACTAGACTTAAAACTAGAAACATTCAGGTTTAGCCGTCTTGAGAGACGTGCGGCTAAACCCGAATGATTCTAGTTCTAGGTCTTGTATTTACTTTAGTTTTACACTAGCACTATCACTAGAACTAACACAAAACCTAACACGTCTCCCGATCGTGAAAAAATCTCGTTGATTTTTAAGTCACATGATGATTTTTGAATTTTTCTCCAATTTTTTACAAAAAAAGTAATAATTTAAATTAGTTGGAGGAATATTATCGCCAAACCAAGAAGAAAATCCGTTCTGGTGGAATGCAAATCACGTTTTTATTCCATACTGTACGAGTGATAGTTGGAGTGGAACACGAATTGAGCGAAACGAAGGGGGAATGTTCAATTTTATGGGTTCACTAATCGTCCAACAAGTGATTAGAGACTTAATCCCGTTGGGGTTGGAAAATAGCACGGATGTTTTGTTGGCGGGAAGTAGTGCGGGTGGAACCGGGGTTATGTTAAATTTGGATTTGATACAAGAAATTCTCCACGATAAAATGGGGCTTAAACACATCGCTGTGAGAGGTGTAAGCGATTCCGGTTGGTTTTTGGACCGCATCCCGTTCTCAACCGGGGGAAAATTAAATATGAGCGCAATCGAAAAGGGAATGGATATTTGGAGAGGAAATATTCCGGATGCTTGTAAAATTGAGCATCCAAATGAACCGTGGAAGTGTTATTTTGGTTATAAATTGTACCCCACATTAAAAGGTAAATTTTGTTACAATTAAAATGAAATTATTATATAAAAATTGTTTTAGCTCCGTTATTTTTATTCCAATGGCTTTTCGATGAAGCTCAAATGGACGCAGATAATGTAGGAGCTCCCGTTACAAAACAACAATGGGATTACATCCACAAAATGGGGAATGCAATCCGAAAAAGTTTTAAAAACGTTTCTGCCGTTTTCGCACCTAGCTGCATTTCTCATTCGGTTCTAACAAAGCGTGATTGGTTGCAAGTAAAAATCGATGGTGTTTCAATAGCCGAAGCTTTACATTGTTGGGAAACGATCCCGATTCGGAAATATAATCACAATAATAACATGAAACGATCCAGAAATCACCATCATAAAGAACCAAAGATCGTTCCAAGACAAGTTAAACGAATCGACAACGAAGAAACGAGAAAAATACGGCGAAGAAAACACCGAGGAAATCGAAAACCGAAAATTAAAAAGAATAGAAAAAATTGTAATAAATTAAATTTAATTTAATAAATTTTTATTGAGGAAATTTTTTTTGTTTTTAGGTGGGATAAAATTAAAATGTCACCAATTGAAACATCAACAACAATCGAATTTTTCCCCTTTTGATCATAATCGTTCGGAGCGATCGGCACATCACAATCAAAAGCAACACCAAAGAAGACCCTCTCACTGTCACCATCGAAGATTGGAAAAGTGTTCGTGGCCTCAGTGCAATCGTTCATGTCCGAAATTGCATAACCCGTACACGGGAGAAGAAATGGATTTTATCGAATTGTTAAAATCGTTCGGGTTAGATATGGAGAGTGTCGCCCACGCTCTTGGAATTGACATGCAGACCTTAATTAGTATGGATCATACTGAATTGTTGAATTTGCTCACTCAACAAGCAAGTTAGTTAAATAGAAAGTTTTTAAATCGGATTCAAAGAAAAGTTTTTTGTAAAATTGTAAATAGCCGTTTTTTTTTTCTTAATTTATTGCCAATTATTTTTTTTTAATATTTATATTTATATATATATTATATAGATTATTTTTGTTTGTGTAGTTGAAGTTTAAAAGTAAAAAATAAGGACTGAGTATCATTCTACCTCAACCAAAACGTTGTACAGCGATTATAGTCAGTAGGTTACCCCCTTTTTTATTGTTTTTTTAATTTTTTTCATGTGTTGCAGTTGTTTTAAGGTCGAGTACAAATTTGTTTTGTTTTTAATTACTTCCCCGCTCAAGAAAGTATATACAAATTACGTTTTTAGATTATTATTATTATTGTTTTAAATTGAATTAAAACTGTCTCATGAAATAAAAACGGAAGGAAATACCTTTCTTAAATGTCACTTAATATTGTGTACCTGCTCTTTTAACAGTATTCTTATTTGTATAAATATATAAATTAACAATCAATTTTAATTTAATTTTTTTTTTACCCACTTTTAATCACTTGTATTTGTTATTGATGTTTTAGTTTATCATACTTCACTCATATTCATTTTATGAGTATATTTTATTTGTATGGAAAGAACACCACGCATTGTGGTGAAATGAAAAATGGATGAAAACGTCAAAATTTCTATTTTTATAAGAATTATNCCAAGTTGTCAAAATCGTTGGGTTAAACAACGACACTACATGACTTCCTCGCAATGGCCGGAAACTCGAGACGGTAAGCAAATTGATACTTATTTTGGTGTAATTCAAGAATCATCATGTCGCTTATATTCGGGTTTAGCCGTGCGTCTGAAGCCGAAACTTTCTAGTTCTAGGTCTAGTGATAGGTCTAGTTTCACACTAGCACTAGCAAAGATTCTAGTTTATGATGTGATATAAAAACGATAAGATAATGTTACTGAAATTTCCAAAAAAAACTTATTAAAGAAGAAACTGTCAAATTTATAGATCAAAGAAAATACAAAATTTTCAAAAACTCATATCTACTGTGTTTTTAAGAATCATGATATGATAAATATGTTAAATTGAGGCTTAAAAATTCTAGTTTATGATGTAATATAAAAACAATAAGATAATATCATTGAAATTTCCAAGAAAAACTGATTAAACAAGAAACTGTCAAATTTATAAATGAAAGAAAATACTACATTTTCAAAAAATCATATCTACTGTGTTTTTAAGAATCATGATATGATACGTATGTTAAATTGAAGCTTAAACATTCTAGTTTATGATGTGATATAAAAACAATAAGGTAATATTATTGAAATTTCCAAGAAAACCTTATTAAAGAAGAAACTGTCAAATTTATAAATAAAAAAAAATACTAAATTTTCAAAAAATCATATCTGCTGTGTTTTTGAGAATGATGATATGATATGTATGTTAAATTGAAGCTTAAAGATTCTAGTTTATGATGTGATATAAAAACAATAAGATAATATTATTGAAATTTCCATGAAAAACAGATTAAAGAAGAAACTGTCAAATTTATAAATCAAAGAAAATACAAAATTTTCAAAAAATATATCTACTGTGTTTTTAAGAATCATGATATGATATGTATGTTAAATTGAAGCTTAAAGATTCTAGTTTATGATGTGATATAAAAACAATAAGATAATATTACTGAAATATCCAAGTAATATACCACAATGTAACGCTAAATAACATTTGAAACTAGAACTAACACTAGACTTAAAACTAGAAACATTCAGGTTTAACCGTCTTGAGAGACGTTCGGCTAAACCAGAATGATTCTAGTTCTAGGTCTTGTATTTACTTTAGTTTTACACTAGCACTATAACTAGAACTAACACAAAACCTAACACGTCTCCCGATCGTGAAAAAATCTCGTTGATTTTTAACCCACATGATGATTCTTGAATTTATCTCTTATTTTTTACAAAAAAATAATAATTTAAATTAGTTGGAGGAATATTATCGCCAAACCAAGAAGAAAATCCATTCTGGTGGAATGCAAATCACGTTTTTATTCCATACTGTACGAGNGTTACCCCCTTTTTTATTGTTTTTTTAATTTTTTTCATGTGTTGCAGTTGTTTTAAGGTCGAGTACAAATTTGTTTTGTTTTTAATTACTTCCCCGCTCAAGAAAGTATATACAAATTACGTTTTTAGATTATTATTATTATTGTTTTAAATTGAATTAAAACTGTCTCATGAAATAAAAACGAAAGGAAATACCTTTCTTAAATGTCACTTAATATTGTGTACCTGCTCTTTTAACAGTATTCTTATTTGTATAAATATATAAATTAACAATCAATTTTAATTTAATTTTTTTTTTACCCACTTTTAATCACTTGTATTTGTTATTGATGTTTTAGTTTATCATACTTCACTCATATTCATTTTATGAGTATATTTTATTTGTATGGAAAGAACACCACGCATTGTGGTGAAATGAAAAATGGATGAAAACGTCAAAATTTCTATTTTTATAGAAATTATTGGGTTGATAATGCTGATTGATGGAGAAAATATCTTTACTCGATATGTCTTATGAGTTAATTCTAAACATTTTTTGTTTAAGAAATAATTCTCTATCATAAAAAATTAATGAGTTATAACCGAAAATGATCAAGAACATCAAAATTTGGTTTTATTTTTAGGTTGGGTTGGTACTACTGATCGATGAATTAAAATAACTTATCGGATATGTTTTATGGCTTAATTCTAAACCTTTTTTGTATGAAAAGTTTTTTTCCGTCAGATATAATTAATGAGTTATAAAAGAAAATTGATGAAAACGTCAAAATTTCTATTTTTACAAGTTGGGTTGGTAATGTTGATTGATGGAATAAATATCTTTACTCAATACGTCTTATGAGTTAATTCTACACATTTTTTGTTTAAAAAATAATTCTCAATCAAGCACAATTAATAAGTTATAACCGAAAATGATCAAAAACATCAACATTTGGTTTTATTTTTGGGTTGGGTTGGTACTACTTATCGATGGATTAAAATAACTTATCGGATATGTTTTATGGGTTAATTCTAAACCTTTTTTGTACGAAAAGTTTTTTTCCATCAAATATAATTAATTACTTATAAAAGAAAATTGATGAAAACGTCAAAATTTCTATTTTTATAAGTTGGGTTGGTAATTCTGATTGATGGAGAAAATATCTTTACTCAATACGCTTTATGAGTTAATTTTAAACATTTTTTGTATAAGAAATAATTCTTCATCATGCACATTTAATGAGTTATAACCGAAAATGATCAAAAACATAAAAATTTTGTTTTATTTTTGGGATGGGTTGGTTCTATTGATCGATGGATTAAAATAACTTATGGGATATCTTTTATGGCTTAATTTTAAACCTTTTTTATATGAAAACTTTTTTTCTATCAAATATAATTAATGAGTTATAAAAGAAAATTGACGAAAACGTCAAAATTTCTATTTTTACAAGTTGGGTTGGTAATGCTGATTGATGGAGTAAATATCTTTACTCAATGCGTTTTATGAGTTAATTCTAAACATTTTTTGTTTAAGAAATAATTCTCCATCATGCACATTTAATGAGTTATAACCGAAAATGATCAAAAACATAAAAATTTTGTTTTATTTTTGGCTGGGTTGGTACTACTGATCGATGGATTAAAATAACTTATTGGATATATTTTATAGCTTAATTCCAAACCTTTTTTGTATGAAAACTTTTTTTCTATCAAATGTAATTAATGAGTTATAAAAGAAAATTGATGAAAACGTCAAAATTTCTATTCTTATAAGTTGGGTTGGTAATACTGATTGATGGAGTAAATATCTTTACTCGATACGTCTTATGAGTTAATTCTAAACATTTTTTGTTTAAGAAATAATTCTCCATCATGCACAATTAATGAGTTATAACCGAAAATGATCATAAACATCAAAAATTTGGCTTTATTTTTGAGCTGGGTTGGTACTACTGATCGATGGATTAAAATAACTTATTGGATGTGTTTTATAGCTTAATTCCAAACCTTTTTTGTATGAAAACTTTTTTTCTATCAAATATAATTAATGAGTTATAAAAGAAAATTGATGAAAACGTCAAATTTTCTATTTTTACAAGTTGGTTTGGTAATGCTTATTGATGGAGTAAAAATCTTTACTCAATACGTCTTATGAGTTAATTCCAAACATTTTTTGATTAAAAAGTAATTCTCCATCATGCACTATTAAAGAGTTATAACCGAAAATAAACAAAAACATAAAAATTTGGTTTTATTTTTGAGCTGCGTTGGTACTACTGATCGATGGATTAATTCTAAACCATTTTTGTAAAACATAAATCGAGTTAACAAAATTAGAATTTTTTAAAATAAAAATTCCTCATTGTAAATAAATCATCCTTTATTGATAGAACAATAGTGATTATTTAATATGATTTCTGGCAACACTAAGCTTTTTTTATAACAAGAAAATATCGGAAACGGGGAACGAAATCGGATACAGTTTAGTAAAAACAAGGCGCCTTCTGTATTTTAATCTTTTTATATTTTCATCTGAGTATATCGCGCAGTGGCATGCGGCATCGCGTTAATGTGCGATTTGTTTAATTGTTCCCATTTCTCATTTTTTTGTAATTATATTATTCTTTAAATATATATTTACTCTGTAACAGATGTATATGTGTACAATATAATATATATTTGACGTGAAAATAATCTTTTTATACTTTATATTTACATATAGAAATTAAAAACGAAATTCGACTAAAGAAAAAAAGATAAAATTAAATTAAATACATCTCTTTCCTGCGATTAATCGCTCTGCGCTTATTGTTAGTACGATATAGGTGTATCTCTGTGTAGTGTGTGTCTTTTTCGTGAGACAAACTAGGAATGATTAGTAGGACTTATATGGTACATTTCTTTTTTAATAATCACTAACCGTATGATTTTTGTTTCACCTATAGCAACGGACAGTCACTCTACTCTCTACGTACATTTAGTTTTTTCGCATTTTTTTTGCATCTTTAAATTTTAATACTTCAATTTTAAATATATATATATTTGGCATTAGTTAAAATCGAAAGAGGAAGACAAATAATTTTCTTTACACCATCGTGTTTTAAGGAAACGTAATTTACAGAGACAGTTAGAGTTAGATTAGTATTTCGAATAACAGATTTAATTATACTTTCTAACCGCCGTTTTAATATTTAATTTAACGTTTATACTTGAACGTTTTACAAGTTGTGGGGTTTAAATTTTTTTATCCTTTTCTTAACTTGCATTCTGGTGGGAAAAATGGAAATATGCAGTATTTTATTGTCTTCCGAACGTTACGAACAATAAGAAATGAACTAATCTGCGTACACATTTCAAAATTAAGTTTCAGCATCGAGTTTATAACGATTAAAGTCGCTTATAAACGTACGAAATAAGAATGCAATTTTTCTTTATTATTTTGCAATTCTATAAAGGTTCCCTAGAGTTAAAACACTTTATTATTTTTTATTCTGTATATAAAAATTGCAAACACTACCTAAAGTTACTTTTACTTTTTATACATAATTTCCTTTCGTGGTTATTCATCAATGATTTCTGAAAGATTAACAATTTAATTTACAACTTTTCAATCCTACGAACAGTTTTTTTGTTTTAAATTGAATCTTAACCGTCACAAAGTCCAACAATTCGTATCGATTTAGATATATTTTTAGAATCGCCTCAAAGAAATTTTTTTTTCGAGCGTACTTTTTCAAGTGCGGAGTACTAACAGTAGTAGTAATAACATGAAATAAAGTAAGGGGATAACAATTTAAGAACGGTAATATATCACATTTCGCGTTTTAAGTATTAGAATTGAAAATTTAACAACAGTTTACTTACAATAAAATTTAAAAGTAACCTCTAATTTTTATATTTTCTTTAAGATTTTCTTTTTGGATGATTCGTAAACTATTACTAAACATTCGAATTCTTTTAAAAATTCTGTTAATAACAAAGAGGAACCGTCCGCCGCTTATTTACAATTGATACCATTTTTTATCTTTTTCTTTTAACATTAAACTGTGTGCCGTTGAAGCGAAATTCTCCGCCTCGTTACGCATCCTCTCTGCCGAATCCTCCAATTTATTTAATTTTTCGCCGCGTTCCATTGCCAGTTTGTGCGCACGACTTATTTCGCTCGTCGAAGAAAGTACTCTAGAATTTAATTCTTGCATCACTCCCGGAACGTGTTTGGCAACTGCTTTGTTTGCTTTTCCACTTGCTTCACCAACTATATTAAAATACAAAAAATTATTAATTACACTTATAATAATCATTACGTTGTTGGACACTACATTTAAAATATATGCAAAGGTATTGCTGGGGAGATTGGAAGAGGAAATAGAGAAGGGGGAGTTGTTGCCGGCGGATAAGTGGCTTAAGGGTCATAAAACAAGATGCCGCCAACATCAAACGAATCGATTTCAGTGCCATTTCTGGTTATTCTGTGGTTTAGATGTGACATAATAATGAGGAGGGCTGGGAGTCTTTACACCATCTGCTGGTGGACTGTAGTGAGTTGTGGGAAGAGAAGATGGACTGGAGACAGGTGGTCTGGAGGATAAATAATAAATTAGTAATGACTAAAACGTCAAATTTATATTTTTGTACGTTGGTTTGGTAATGCTGAGTGATGGAGTAAATATCTTTACTCAATACGTGTTATGGGTTAATTCTAAACGTTTTTTGTTTAAGAAATAAGTCTCCATCATGCACTATTAAAGAGTTATAACCGAAAATGATTAAAAACATAAAAATTTGGTTCTATTTTTGGGCTGGGTTGGTACTACTGATCGATGGATTAAAATAACTTATTGGATATGTTTTATGGCTTAATTCTAAAGCTTTTTTGTATGAAAACTGTTTTTCTATCAAATATAATTAATGAGTTATAAAAGAAAATTGATGAAAACGTCAAAATTTCTATATTTACAAGTTGGGTTGGTAATGCTTATTGATGGAGTAAATATCTTTACTCAGTACGTCTTATGAGTTAATTCTAAACATTTTTCGTTTAAGAAATAACTCTCCACCATGCACTATTAATGAGTTATAACCGAAAATGTTCAAAAACATAAAAATTTGGTTCTATTTTTAGGCTGGGTTGGTACTACTGATCGATGGAATAAAATAACTTATGGGATATCTTTTATGGCTTAATTTTAAACCTTTTTTATATGAAAACTTTTTTTCTATCAAATATAATTAATGAGTTATAAAAGAAAATTGATGAAAACGTCAAAATTTCTATATTTACAAGTTGGGTTGGTAATGCTTATTGATGGAGTAAATATCTTTACTCAGTACGTCTTATGAGTTAATTCTAAACATTTTTCGTTTAAGAAATAACTCTCCACCATGCACTATTAATGAGTTATAACCGAAAATGTTCAAAAACATAAAAATTTGGTTCTATTTTTAGGCTGGGTTGGTACTACTGATCGATGGAATAAAATAACTTATGGGATATCTTTTATGGCTTAATTTTAAATCTTTTTTATATGAAAACTTTTTTTCTATCAAATATAATTAATGAGTTATAAAAGAAAATTGATGAAAACGTCAAAATTTCTATATTTACAAGTTGGGTTGGTAATGCTTATTGATGGAGTAAATATCTTTACTCAGTACGTCTTATGAGTTAATTCTAAACATTTTTCGTTTAAGAAATAACTCTCCACCATGCACTATTAATGAGTTATAACCGAAAATGTTCAAAAACATAAAAATTTGGTTCTATTTTTAGGCTGGGTTGGTACTACTGATCGATGGAATAAAATAACTTATGGGATATCTTTTATGGCTTAATTTTAAATCTTTTTTATATGAAAACTTTTTTTCTATCAAATATAATTAATGAGTTATAAAAGAAAATTGATGAAAACGTCAAAATTTCTATATTTACAAGTTGGGTTGGTAATGCTTATTGATGGAGTAAATATCTTTACTCAGTACGTCTTATGAGTTAATTCTAAACATTTTTCGTTTAAGAAATAACTCTCCATCATGCACTATTAATGAGTTATAACCGAAAATGTTCAAAAACATCAAAATTTGGTTCTATTTTTGGGCTGGGTTGGTACTACTGATCGATGGAATAAAATAACTTATGGGATATCTTTTATGGCTTAATTTTAAATCTTTTTTATATGAGAACTTTTTTTCTATCAAATATGATTAATGAGTTATAAAAGAAAATTGATGAAAACGTCAAAATTTCTATATTTACAAGTTGGGTTGGCAATGCTGAATGATGGAGTAAATATCTTTACTCAATAGGTCTTATGAGTTAATTCTAAACATTTATTGTTTAAAAAAGAATTCTCTATCATGCACATTTAATGAGTTATAACCGAAAATGATCATAAACCTCAAAATTTTGTTTTATTTTTGGGCTGGGTTGGTACTACTAATCGATTGACTAAAATAACTTATTGGATATGTTTTATGGCTTAATTCTAAACCTTTTTTGTATAAAAACTTTTTTTCTATCGAATATAATCAATCAGTTATAAAAGAAAATTGATGAAAACGTCAAAATTTCAATTTTTACAAGTTGGGTTGGTACTGTTGATTGATGGAGTAAATATCTTTACTTAATACGTCTTATGAGTTAATTCTAAACATTTTCTGTTTAAAAAACAATTCTCCATCATGCACTATTAATGAGTTATAACCGAAAATGATTAAAAACATCAAAATTTGGTTCTATTTTTGGGCTGGGTTGGTACTACTGATCGATGGAATAAAATAACTTATGAGATATCTTTTATGGCTTAATTTTAAACCTTTATTATATGAAAACTTTTTTTCTGTTGAATATAACCAATGAGTTATAAAAGAAAATTGATGAAAACGTCAAAATTTCTATTTTCACAAGTTGTGTTGGTAATGCTTATTGATGGAGTAAATATCTTTATTCAGTACGTCTTATGAGTTAATTCTAAACGTTTTTTGTTTTAAGAAATAATTCTGCATCATGCACTATTAAAGAGTTATAACCGAAAATTATCAAAAACATACAAATTTGGTTCTATTTTTGGGCTGAGTTGGTACTACTGATCGATGGATTGATATAACTTATGGGATATCTTTTATGGCTTAATTTTAAACCTTTTTTATATTAAAACTTTTTTCTATCGAATATAATCAATGAGTTATAAAAGAAAATTGATGAAACGTCAAAATTTCTATTTTTACAAGTTGGGTTGGTAATGCTGATTGATGGAGTAAATATCTTTACTCAATACGTGTTATGAGTTAATTCTAAACATTTTTCGTTTAAGAAATAACTCTCCACCATGCACTATTAATGAGTTATAACCGAAAATGATCATAAACCTCAAAATTTTGTTTTATTTTTGGGCTGGGTTGGTACTACTAATCGATTGACTAAAATAATTTATTGGATATCTTTTATGGCTTAATTTTAAACCTTTTTTATATGAAAACTTTTTTTCTATCAAATATAATTAATGAGTTATAAAAGAAAATTGATGAAAACGTCAAAATTTCTATTTTTATAAGTTGGGTTGGTAATACTGATTGATGGAGTAAATATCTTTACTCAATACGCCTTATGAGTTAATTCTAAACATTTTTCGTTTAAGAAATAACTCTCCACCATGCACTATTAATGAGTTATAACCGAAAATGATCAAAAACATCAAAATTTGGTTCTATTTTTGGGCTGGGTTGGTACTACTGATCGATGGATTAAAATAACTTATTGGGTATATTTTATGGGTTATTTCTAAACCTTGTTTGTATGAAAACTTTTTTTCTATCAAATATAATTAATGAGTTATTAAAGAAAATTGACGAAAACATCAAAATTTCTATTTTTACAAATTGGGTTGGTAATGCTGATTGATGGAGTAAATATGTTTACTCAATACGTGTTATGAGTTAATTCTAAACATTTTTCGTTTAAGAAATAATTCTCCATCATGTACAATTAATGAGTTACAACCGAAAATGATCAAAAACATCATAATTTGGTTTTATTTTTGGGCTGGGTTGGTACTACTGATCGATGGATTAAAATAACTTATTGGGTATGTTTTATGGGTTATTTCTAAACCTTCTTTGTATGAAAACTTTTCTTTTATCAAATATAATTAATGAGTTATAAAAGAAAATTGATGAAAACGTCAAAATTTCTATATTTACAAGTTGGGTTGGTAATGCTTATTGACGGAGTAAATATCTTTACTCAGTACGTCTTATGAGTTAATTCTAAACATTTTTCGTTTAAGAAATAACTCTCCATCATGCACTATTAATGAGTTATAACCGAAAATGTTCAAAAACATAAAAATTTGGTTCTATTTTTAGGCTGGGTTGGTACTACTGATCGATGGAATAAAATAACTTATGGGATATCTTTTATGGCTTAATTTTAAATCTTTTTTATATGAAAACTTTTTTTCTATTGAATATAATCAATGAGTTATAAAAGAAAATTGATGAAAACGTTAAAATTTCTATTTTTATAAGTTAGGTTGGTAATACTGATTGATGGAGTAAATATCTTTACTCAATACGTCTTATGAGTTAATTCTAAACATTTTTTGTTTAAGAAATAATTCTCCATCATGCACATTTAATGAGTTATAACCGAAAATGATCATAAACCTCAAAATTTGGTTTTATTTTGGGGCTGGGTTGGTACTACTGATCGATGGAATAAAATAACTTATGGGATATCTTTTATGGCTTAATTTTAAACCTTTTTTATATGAAAACTTTTTTTCTATCAAATATAATTAATGAGTTATAAAAGAAAATTGACGAAAACGTTAAAATTTCAATTTTTACAAGTTGGGTTGGTAATGCTGATTGATGGAGTAAATATCTTTACTTAATACGTCTTATGAGTTAATGCTAAACATTTTCTGTTTAAAAAATAATTCTCCACCATGCACAATTAATGAGTTACAACCGAAAATGATCAAAAACATAAAAATTTGGTTCTATTTTTGGGCTAGGTTGGTACTACTGATCGATGGATTAAAATAACTTATTGGATATGTTATATGGCTTAATTTTAAACCTTTTTTGTATGAAAACTTTTTTTGTATCAAATACAATTAATGAGTTATAAAAGAAAATTGATGAAAACATCAAAATTTCTATTTTTACAAGTTGGGTTGGTAATGCTGATTGATGGAGCAAATATCATTACTCAATACATCTTATGAGTTAATTCTAAACATTTTTTGTTTAAGAAATAATTCTCCATCATGCACAATTTACATAAAAATTATAAAAAGATATTTTAAAATAACTTACAAAGTTCCTCTCTGTCTAAAGATCGAACCCCTCCTCCAAAAAGCCCTTTGAAAAATCCTTCTTTTGGTGGTTCCGGCATTTCCGCAGTTATATATAATTCACCTAACATTTCAGATAAATTCGTGCTTTGGGAACAAATTAAAACAATTAATTAATTATTTCATTAAAACGTTATCTTATCCTACCAAAAATCAGCACACAAAGTAAACTTTTGCAACTCGGAAGGCGAGCACAGGTACAATCCTTGTCCCCGATTACTGAAGCAAAACGTTCTTGCAATTCTGAAACGAACTCGTTTAAATTGAAACGAATAAATGTTGATAAACAAAAAAAAATAGGTAAAGGATAAAAAATCTAATAAATGGTTTTAATATTAAATTAAAAAAATTGAAGTGGTCGTAAGATATGAACAAGATAAGATAATCATGCAAAACTCACAAATAGAGAAAAGGACATGCCACATCAAAGAAATTAGAATTGATTAGTTAAGTGTTGGTGCTAAACAAAAATTTCGAGGGCGAAAAACTGCGGAAAGCCAATTATTATTGTTAAGATAACAAATATTGAGAAATGGTGCTGATTTTAGCAATCTTCAACAATGTATTTTTTGTTTTGTCGGGTTGGGTTTTGGGTCTCTAAAAAACGTATACCTGACCAGAAAATTTAAGCATTCGGCGTTGGACAACGCGTTTTTTCGTTTGCCAACGCGCCTGACCTGTTCTCGTGAGTTTCTGCTAGAAAACAGAGTAACGAATAGAAACAATGGGACACCAAAGAAACAAAAATAACGAACGATAGACACACATCGAGAAAAATTCATAAAAAACAGCCACAAATCTACTACTTAGATGATTAAAAAGATTAAATTAAAATTAAAAAATAAAATTCTTTTTTGTTGTTGTTGTTTGGGGGGAATTTATTTTTTTAGTGGAAACTTACTGATCCGTGTCTTCGTTAATGATCAGCTGTTGGCCCCATATGGACAACATAGGGTCTACAATGCCCTTCTTAGTTTGTGTCTGGAAACTAGGCAAGGTCGATTAGAAGCGAATCGAAAACTATTACGAGTAACAACAACGAGAACGCTGTAAACACGATTATCGCTTCTTTAATAATAATAAAATTGTTTTCCCCTCGAAATGTTTCTCATTAAACTTGGAAAAAGTTTGATGCGAAACAAGAAAAATTTTGTAAAAATTAGTGGTGTTAGTTTAAAATTGATTAAAAGGTATAAAACATGCTAAATAGATCCAAATAATTAAGTTCGAGTAAGAATCGAATAATTACTTATGCTAAAAAGAAGTGCTGCGCAGCTATATCGTGATTTTTCGGGAAAAAATCGTGATTCTCTCGTGTAATCACCACCAAAAATAAATCCAAAAAAGCTGTATAACTTACCTTAACTCCGATAAAGGTAAGAAGTGAATATCTATTAAAGGACGAAGACTCGGCAAACTATACGTCATCAAATGTCCATTAGACACAAAACAAACCAAGCAAACGCTATCTAAAAAGAAAAAAAATTTAACACAATTTTATTTAAATCCAAATAAAATTTACCTCTCAACAAAACGATTTCAGCTTTAACCACAAAATCAGCATCGGCAATTTGCTGTCGATACACGCAAGTTTGCGATGGCAAAGCGACAACACGAGCCTGTTTATCGCTCGCGATAACCACAAATTGTCTATCTCCGAACGAATCGGTCTTATTTTGAGATTCACCGCTTAACGTCGGACTCATCCTGTTCGGGCATTTGGTCGGCGTTCGATCCGATTTCTTCTCTCTAAAATCGTCGCGCCAAGATTCGAACGTGTACGGAATTAGGGAGCCGTTACAATCCAAAAAGGACATGTTCAAAATGCACCCTTTCAGGCGGAAAATTGTGACCCCCACCAACGAAACGACCACAGGCTGTGACGATCGACTGTCTTGATCTGGCGGAGTTATTAGGATCGTTAAAACCGATCCAAGACTTGTTCCAACCCAAAGCGTTGGTGTTAAACTGTGTGGCTCTAAAAATAAAATTAGAATTAAACATTATTAAAAGAAATTTCTTAGAATTTTTAATGAATTTGTTGTTGTTAGCTTAATTTCTGTGCGGTGATTTTAACGCCAAAGTTGTCTTGAAGTCTGAAGACTCAGAGACTGCTCTTGGATGTTTTGGTACCTTCTTTCTAGTCTAGACTAACTGACAACAAAAACATCATTAAGGATATATCAGTATTGAATAGGTTCTCTAGTAAACCTAACCATGGCATTCCCTGACAGAATCCCTGACCATCGTATTGAACGTAAGAGAATGTTATGAATGATATGATAATAATAATAATAAATTTATTTTTGTTTTTTATAATATAAAATGTTATTTACTGATGAATTTCGTTATGTATTATTGGCCGTTGATGTTTTCTATTGTATATAATCCATGTAAAGTCGATACGAAGTAATTTTAAAGACCCCCTGACAGATACATAACCTCAATTTGATTTTTTTCTAAATTTTTTATTCAAATTCTTATTTATCCGGTTGAAGCTATTAAGAATGATAATCTTAGCATAGTAAGAATGAAAAACAGCCGTCCGTTATGAGAATTAATGAAATTTTAGATGGAAATTCATAATCTCAAGATTTTTGAGACTTTTGGAAATTTTGCCGTTGAATATAGAAGAAAATGGTCAGATATCTGAAAAGTAATTTAAAGAAGCATTAAAACTACAAGATTTCATACATAAATATAGTTATTATAAAAATTTAAATATTATTTAATCAAATTAAATTAGTGACATTTCAAATGTTAAAGTTGGTAATATCGGAACATTTTAAAAAACGAATTTCAAGTTGATGGAATTGACCAATCAGGAGACACTATTTTTCAATTTCAACAGTAAACAAACGAAAAATAAAAATTTTAGTGTGATTTTGAACTTGAACGAGAACGCACGCAAATTTTGTCTCGTCGAACATTATAAGCAATGTTTTTAGGTTATGTAATAAGATAAATGTTGACATAACCTCAAAACGAAAAAGTATTTCCTCCGAATCAAAGAAAAAACGAAAAAAAATAGTAACCCTAATGAAGAAACCTCATTGTGGTTCCCGTTCCTGATAATCCCATACCGTTGACTTCTTATCCTACAACCCTGGTGAAAAAACATCAATTTGGTTCCCGTTCCTGATAATCCCAGAACCTGTACCGTGGACTTATTTATTCTACAACCAACAGACTAAGCTAAGTGTTATTTTCTTTACTAATACGTAAAATAATTCTAAGATATTTCTCATAATTCATTTCATAACTCATTAATTTTTTTTGTGGTTATGTTGTTACTATTTAAATAAGTATTTTCCTCAATTTGATGGAATAATAAAACCATTAATCTTACTTCGTATTAACTGAAATTTAAGAAATTTGTTATCAATTAATCACAGTTAATTCGTTGAATTTTACTTTAAAGATTTGTTTACGAGTTAACTCACGTTCGTTTAGACCGACTTGACAATTTCGCTAGTTCCGGAATTAAATTTTCATTTGAATTTGTGAAATTAAACAGTTAAATTATTTATTGTACGGCTTAACCCGAAAGTCTCTAGGTCTAGTGTTAGTTCTAGTGATAGTGCTACTGTTAGTTCTAGTTTAATAAAATTGATTTATATCAACCAATAGAACAGGCGGGTTTTCGCAGGGAATTTGGAACAAATGACCACTTCCAAAGTATCAAGACTTTCGAGAGCTTTCGATACAAGTGAGTTGATGGCAGTGTTGCAAGCACTTCAAGAATGCAGGGTCGATTATCGATACACCAAACTTATTTATAACATCTACAAGAATGCTACAATGACGGTAAAATTGCATGAAAGTACTGACCTATTGGACGTGGGATAAAATAAGGCGATACAATGTCCCCCAAATTGTTCATGATAGTCTTGGAGAGTGCATTTAAACAACTGGATTAAAAAAGGCATAAACATTGATGGCAAATACATAAGTAATCATGTATCGAGAGATAATCAAACAAGCGAACTCTAAACATAAGGATCACACTCGCATGGACAGCCCATGGGAAAACTTAGAGACATCTTAAAGTCCTATATATGTGAAAAGAAAGGCTTTCAATCAATGCGTGCTTCCGGTTATGACATACGACTCCGAAACTTTTACATTAATCGTGGCTACCGCCAGGAGGCTCAAAGTTACGCAAAGAAAGATGGAAAATCGATGCTGGGTGTAATCACATACGAAATGAAGACCTACGAAGAAGAACTGGCGTAAATGATGTGGTCAACATTGTGGAAAAGCTCAAGTGGAACTGGGCGAATCATCTCACGGGACAAAATGGTTGCTTGAGTAGAGACCACGAGTAGACAGACGACGTCAAAAGAATGACCAATAATTTGATTCAGACAGCAGAAAATAGAATCGAATGAAACATAATAGGGGTAGTATAATAGGGGTAGTATAATATACCTAGATTTGACTATTATAATAATAAAAAAGTTAAGAAAGTAATAAAAAAAAAACAGTACCTGAACGTTTAGCGTAAGAATCCGCAAAAGCTAAACATTGAATAGCTTCCGAAGTGATGTTTTCCAAAGAACTCATCGAACTGGATCTTGATCTTGAGAAGGAGTTATCCAACTTGTCTACGCGACCCATAAAACAAATAGTACGTTAGCCGGGGACTGCAATGATTTACTCTAATTTTTTGTAAAAAAGTTAAAAATTGAAATGTTAGCAGCTACGCATGCGCTAAAGCTATTTAAATTTAAAAGTTAGTTTTATTTTATTTTTAATTTAAACAAAAATTATTTAACAACGAAAAAGGGTGTTTTTGTTTAAATAAATTGGGATGCTTTTTAACGTAAATTTTAATTGGTTTAATTTCATTTATTCTGCCCGAAGCTCTAGCAATAGCAGTAAAATTTTAAAATTTATTATTTCTTAACTCGAATAAGCCTAGGAGTAATTAATTATATACATAATTCATGCATATTCATCGTTATAAATAAACCCATGCATAGAACACATGCGTGCAATAAATCGAAGTGTTTAACACAATTTAAAAACGGATTAAGATCATAAAAATCGAAATATAAGGGATCCGAAATTAAAAATAAATAATTAAATAAATAGGAAGGAAACGCAACATAGAACCAAGTGTTTGTGTACTAAGAGACAATCGTGCAGATTTTTTTTTGTGATATCGTTTTTGATATCACTTCTGTTGATAGAGAGATTTGTTTAAATCTACGTTCTTATTACTCATTTTATTAATTTAAATTTAATTTTGTTAATTAAAAAGATTTAATTTAATTAAGAGTAATTAAGAACATAGATGTGGGGACAGTTTCTTTTTAAATAGACACAGACAAGTTTTTGATAGTACAGATCACCCTTTGTTCTTCTTTCTCCCCATGCTATCTTTCAATAAAATAATAAAGTGCATAAAAAGATCACTAAAAACTGATTTCAAATTTTTTTTTGGGTGCAATCTAAAATTAATTACAGTGTGGTCTGTCTAGATAGGTTTAAATAGATTCTTAGGCAACTACTTGAGCGTGTGTGTCGTACATTCTCTACTGTGTACATGTAAAAAAAAAGAAAATAATTAATACAAAGAAAGTTTTTCTTAAAAAATCAAATAAATATACGATTTTACGTGATTAATATTCGATTATTGTACTGCTATTGCCTACTATTTTCAAGGAAAGATGAAGATAATAGACATTATTTAATTAGGTAGAGTGAAAATTTAAGATATTTAAAGTTTAATAGAAGAGTTTTTTTTATCTAGAACAGAACCTACAACTAATTAAACGATTTTACTTGATTTGGAAGAAATAATAATGTGTGATTAAATAAATTTTTTTTGTTTCAAAACTTTGTATGGTTCACGCAGTAATTTTATGGCGCAGATCATTAATTGGACCGCGTTATGAATCATTTGACGAAGCGACTAATGTTGAGAAAAACGGGATTTTTGTTTTCATCTCTCTAAAAATATAAGATTTCTCAGAATAGACAGGCTGAAACTATTGAAAATTGTTTGGTACAGAACACTGATGACAGCCATCACAAGCACAGAATCCGCTTGGTCAGTTGTTTTACGATTATACAGGCTGTTTCTGTAAGTCGTGGCATAAATTTAATCACAAATACTAGAGTCAAAATGATGTTTTGTGTAAAAATTTTGGAAGAAAATAAGTCTAACTAATTTCGGCCCTTGGCCACCTTCAGAGACTCTACAAATAAATTAAAATCCCTTATCCTATTTATTTTATAAATAACATTCTTAATATTTCTTTTGTTAAAAAAGATCACATATCAAAGTCGAAGTCAGATTATTAGTTACTAATTTACAAAATGTTACAAGTTTACAGGTTTAAATTTAAGAACGCTCTTTTTTAACAAAAGAAATATGAAGAAACTTCGGAAAAATTCAAGAATCATCATGTAGCTTAAAAATTGACGATTCATCAATCAATGAAATGAACCAAAAAACACGTTAAAACTAAAAAGAAAGATTAACTTCAGTTATAAAACTTCTATTATATGATAACTAACTTCAGGTTTAAAATGTCAACCTCAATTTTGACATATTTGTAATCTTCATTAAAAATGCTATAAAATGAGTACAAACACGACATATTTATCATCAATATTAATGAAGTTATAGTCAATTTCCGGTTAACAATGTCAACGTCAATTTTGACATATTTGTAATCGTCGTGAAAAATCCTTTAAAATGAGTCCAAACATGATACGTTTATTTCCAATATTACTCGAGATATAAGCAACTTCCGGTTTGAAATGTCAATGTCATTTTGACATATTTTTAATTTTTATAAAATGTCTTAATATTTGTCACAAAAATAAAAATATAATAAAAAAATATCAAAAATTAAGGTTGGTTATAAATATTTAAAAATTAAATTGCTATCTTCATTGTTGCTAACTTCGGGTTTAATGTTTTTTATTCAAATTTTTTTGATTTTTGAGATAATTGCGTCATCTTTGGACTCATTTTAAAGGTTTTTTAATGAAGATGACAAATATGTCAAAATTGACGTTTCAAACCGGAAGTGATTGTATCTCCATTAAATTCAAAGTTAAATATGTCGAGTTTGGACTCATTTTAAAGGATTTTTTATGAAGGTGACAAATATGTCAAAATTAAAAGTTGAAAGTTCGAACTTTTTGTTTTTTTGAGATAAATGCGTCATCTTTGGACTCACTTTAAAGGTTATTTTATGAAGATTACGAATATAATAATAAAATTAAAGTTGACATTGACAACTGAAATTTTTTTTCACGACTAAACCCGAATGTTTCTATAACATAGTAATATCTTATGCTAACTAGCGCTAGCTACCACTGCCACTAGGACTAACATTAGATCTAGAACCACAAACATTCGGGTTTAGCCGCACGTCTCTAAAGACGGCTAAACCCGAATGACTCTAGGTCTAGTGTTAGTTCTAGTTTTGGTGCAATAAAAATATGCAACATAGTGATATCTTATGCTAACTAGCGCTACCTGCCGTTTGTAAAACGGATAAGATAAGAGATGTTAATCTGTTTGTAGAGTCTCTAAAGATGGCTAAGGACCGAAACTAGTTAGACTTAAATTCTATATAAAATAAAAGACAAACTTTTAATTTTATACTAACATCTAGAAAACGACACTGGTCCAAACTGCAATTAATATTTATGGATCTGAGAGCAAAAGTGCAAGAGAGCAATATTGTTAACAACAAAATTTGCTACAACCTTTGTTCTAAAAGCTTTTTGTAATATGCTCTGAATTACCATTAACACCTTGTAAATAGGATGTTTCAGTTAAAAAAGTAAAGTTGACCGATTTTCCGATAAAACTAAAAGTAATTAACAATTTTTTATGCAATTTCATTTGTAACCTTTATCAAACAATTTTTGACTTTACTGAATTTGGCCTTCATAGGTTGCGAACGCTGGGATGAACCGCTAATGTACAACATGAAAAATGGGAGTAACCGAATCGATTTGATATTCCTGAAAGGTTGTGATTTGTGTTATCCCTTTGTGATTACAACATGATTGATAGGTGTGTGAATTTGAAAAGTGCGATGTAAACAGTTCTTTGTTCTCAAAATGGGTCACTTTGAATTCTGTGCGTGAAACATTTTATGACAACACAGAAATAAGAATTTATTTAATCACATTATTTGAACTAAAGAAAAACTAATGAAACTAAACCGTAAAAAAATATATAATAACAAAAAGAAATCCATACGGTTTCAAATACTAATATGTAATAAATAACAAGTAAAAAAGAGAATTGTAAAAAGGTTTTTAGTAATATTAATAATGTGAGGATCGTAAAGAGTGTTATTTTTTTTAATAAAAAATTCTCGGTCCTCGGTGACTGTACTACCAAAACTGCAATACTGTCGGGCGATGAGCAACTGGTGGCGTTGTTGCGGGACACCGGAAGAGGAGGAGATCTGTTGCTGCTGCTGCTGCGTTTGCTGTAACTGCTGCAGAGGCTGTAGCTGTAGCTGCGGCAGCGACAGCGTTTCCTCCGTGTAGCTTGCGGTCGACAGGCACTTGTGTAGCTTTCTGGTACCTTGCGATCGCGACCTGCGCGGCGGCTCGGGTCGCGGCCGCCCGAGTCCCTGCGCAGATGCAGCCGCCGTCACCGCGGCCCCAGACGACGACGTGCACGACGACGACGCCGCCCCCGACATCACCGATGTCGTCGCCGCAGCCGGACTGCACACCCCGTTCATCTGTACGCAACACATCAAACACACACGAGACATTCTCGCTTAACTCATTTCGGCTGTTTCACACTTTCTTATTATCATCTCATTTCCTTAATAAACTTCAATTCTTAAAATTACACGTTATTTCTCCGTAACCCGATTTAATAATACTCAATAAAAAATGAATTATTAAAATAAATATAACAAAGAAAACGGTGTCTTCTCTGTCATCATACAAAAGCGTTATAGCGACGAGAACAAGCAGCTACTGATTAACAAAAAATAATAAAAACTTATTTTTTATTAAAAAATAATCTAAATTAGCAGCCAAACTAATTCTAATCGAGAGGGGGGGCTGGGTATGGTGGTTTAATTGTTCGGCGTTACTATATATATTTTTTTTATTTTGATGAGGGTCTAATTTTAATCTAGCGCCCTCTCTCTTTCTAGGCGAGCGTACCGAAAAGGTCCGCGAACAGGGCCCGCAAACAGCTGTTGTCCTCGTCCTTCAAAATAAACCAAAGCCAACGTGAACAAATTCACACCCCACCAATGACCCGCTGAAATCAAGTCAGTTATCGTCAAACAGAAAAAAACAAACCAACAAAAATTAAACAACAAAGAAAAAAACTAAAACATATTAATTAATTAATTAACTAAAAGAGAATTTAGGAATCAATGAAGGAGTATTCAATAAAGGTTGTTTAACGAACAAATTAATAAATAAATAAATAAAGAGATTGTTTATGTTAACCTTTTAAAGCAATTTTTTTATATACAGGGTGAGTTATTAGCATCCCGGTGGATAATAAACACTAAATCATTTGACATAGAAAAATTTAATTAATTCACCGCTTTCTATATTGTAAAATTTTCATTTATACAGGGTGTTGCATTTAACGGCAAGTACTTTTTTTTTTAACACCTGTATATTTTATCATATTCAATTGTTTTTCCAAAATATCTCCTTGCAGGATCGTTAAAAACGTTGTAAAAATGACACTATACAGCGTGTTCATAAAACTTTGTAAATTTTCTTGCTTTCCCATAAGTTTTTTAAATGAAAAGTCATACTATCGTCTACCTCCAGGCTTAGACAGTTTAAACGAGCGGCTAAACCCAAATGATTCTAGTTCTAGGTATAGTATTAGTTTTACATAGTAACAGTGCTAGCGCAAAGTGTGCACAGTGCTAGTGTTAGTTCTAGTTTTAGATAAGGTGAGGAAAAAGGCCATCATGGCAAACCAGATCTGCCGCAGGCTCCTAGGAAGGAACTGGGGTCTCAAACCACGAATGGCTCATTGGGCCTACGTAGCAATAATCAGACCCATGGTCGCCTACGCCTCATTGGTTTGGTGGCCAAAAACAAAACATAAGACAGCTCAACAACAGCTGGCACAAATCCAGCGGTTAGCATGTCTTAACATAACGGGTGCAATGAGATCCTGTCCGACGGCTGCTTTGGAAGCCCTACTCGGTCTCACACCGCTCCACATATATATACAAAAGGAGGCAGCCTTAAGTGCCTTATCACTGAAAACAGTTTCTTCACTCAAGTTGATGCAGGGTAATCTCAGAGGACACCTCGAGATCCTCAAAGACCCATGTCTAAATCACCTGATTGAAATTAAAACGGACCTTATACCGACGGAATACAATTTCAACCAACCGTATAAGGTCATATTTAGTAGCAGGGATGATTGGGCGAAAGGAGGGCCTCAACTAAAAAGAGGAGCCCTAGCCTGGTACACCGATGCTTCAAAGACAGTAAGATCTGGAGTAGGCATGGGCATCAGCGGACCAAATAGACACATCAAATTGCCCCTCAGCTCGGACTTAACAATTTTCCAAGCAGAAGTTCTTGCTATAAACTTCTGCACCGCTTTGAACCTACAGAAGGGACAAAAAGGTGCATCCATAAACATTTTCACAGACAGTCGGGCAATTCAGGCCTACACGTGTGGCTCCGCACTGATCAGAGAGTGCACCAACAACCTGAGAGAACTCGCTAGGGGCAATGATGTTACCCTATGGTGGGTTCCAGGTCACAGCAACATTGAGGGCAATGAGCTGGCCAAAGAGGCAGCAAACACGCCCTTCATTGGACCCCAACCTGGATGTGGACTACAAAAAAGCCACCTAAAACAAATAATCAACAACTGGGAGGCTTCAAAGATAGCCTTACGCTGGAAAGAACTTCCAGGTCACAGACAAGCGAAGAGTATGATAACTCCGTCGCAAAACAAAACCAAAGAGGTTTTATGCCTCAGCAAAGGGGATCTAAGAACGCTCTCAGGCTACCTAACCGGCCATGTGCCCCTAAAATACCACCTCTTCCACATTGGACAAGCTGAGGATCAAACTTGTCGACTATGCAACGACGAGTCAGAAACTGCTGAACATATACTGTGCAATTGCGTCGCCAGAGGCCGTCTAAGGCACAACGTCTTCGGTAAAACTCCCCTGTTACCTACCGACATAAAGGTTCAAGATCTCAGGACAATACTAAGGTTCATTAAGGACCTACATTTGCCCTAAACCTTTGGAGGGCTAAAGTTACAATAGATCTTATAGGTCGCGGTAACGAGAGGGGCCGCCCTCCTCAGCCCGGCAGCAATAATAATAATAATAAATAGTTCTAGTTTTAGTGCAATAAAAATATACAACATAGTGATATCTTATCCTATCCGCCACCTACCGCTGTCGTATGTAAAAGGGATAAGGTGAGAGATGTTAATCTATTTGTAGAATTTCTGAAGATGCCGAAGGGCCGAAACTAGTTAGACTCAAATTCTATATAAATGCCTGCAACTATGTTGTATTTTATGTAGAACGGTGCAAGTGCATAGTTAGTGCATTCATACATTGCGAGTTATATGAAATGCCTGGTATACAAACGTTCATTTAAAACATTGGACTGGTTTTCTGACCCATGAATGAACTGTAAATTGTGGGGATGTACAGGGTGGGCAAATTTGGGTGTTATTATAGGCTATCTCAGAAACTATAAGAGATACGAAAAAAGTAGATGCCATGTCCCACATCAAACCTCTATCTTCTTTTGTTTTTAAGTTATAGCCAAAAAGTCAAATTTTCGTGATTTCAAAAAATGCTCATATTTCGTTTATTTTTCAAATTATAGGAATGGGGTTGATACGTTCTTAAGACACTTTTTTAAGTGGAATATACTGCCGTTGAAAAGTTTTAAATATACTTGTTGATTTTTTAGATACAACACAAAGTTGTGTTTTTTTAAATACAAACTATACTTGATTATGATGTTAAAGAAAATAGCATATTTTTAGCTTTCCAATGATGTATCGCATGTATGGTGTATTTGCAGAAAATAAGCGTTAATTTTCAATTCGAAAATAGTAAGCGCTAATATTCAAAATTTTGATTATAGTAGGCGGGTCCGGACAGTTAATACTACCTAGTGGCTATAATATATAGTTTTGCACGAATATGGCAGAATAAAGTTGGTTTTGTACCAACGAATAAAAACTTTGAATAGTTAATTTAAATTTCTCAGCATCTTATCCCTGACTTTGTTCACTAATAAAAAATGATTAGCATTTAAAGTTTGTTTATTAAAAATACAATAAATGTATTAATTAATGAATAATTAAATATGGACAACTTCAGGAACTAAAGAGTCATAAACTGTCATCTTCTTCTACTCAACTTACTGGATGTAAGATTAGAACAGTTATCATATCGGTATCAATGAATGAAATCTTCGGTAGTATTTTCCCAGTTTTTCCCAAACATAAGATGTAGAAGTTTTTTGATATCAGCAAACTTTTCTTTTGAAATTGGGTGAGATAGAGGAAAATTAGGAATCATAAACTGGGAGCGGACTTTCCATTGAAACACCGTTTGAATGGGGATATGAAGACTTATGTATCATCTTCAAAGCGGACTCCAATATATTTTATATTTAATTTTATCGTTTTATTTAAAGATAATGCGGAACTTCTTAAACGGGAAACTAGTTTCGCAAAATTCATGAATGAAATGACAAGTGAACTCACGTTGCTATAGTAACTAAGTAGTATTTAGCGTTTTTCTCGCCTACTATAATTAAAAATTTGAATTTTAATCTTTAATATTTTAAAAATTGAAAAATAACGCTTAATTTCCGCAGAAACATCATGCGTGCGATACATCATTGGAAAGCTAAAAATATGCTCTTTTCAGTAATATCATAATAAAGTATAGTTTGTATTTAAAAAAATACAACTTTATATTATATCTCAAAAATTATCAGATATATTAAAAATTTTTCAACGACAGTATATTCTACTCAAAAAAGTGTCTTAGAATGCATTAATAACCCCATTTCTCTAATTTCAAAAATAAACGAAATATGAGCATTTTTTGAAATCACTAAAATTTGACTTTTTGGCTATAACTTAAAAACAAAAGAAGATAGAGACTTGGTCTTTACGGGATTGGATTAGTCTCGGAAAAAGAGACCGAGACATGGCACCTACTTTTTTCGTATCTCTTATAGTTTCTGAGATAGCCTATAATAACACCCAAATTTGCCCACCTTGTACAAAGGCCCTCTGGGTCCTAAGTGCTGTGAAGGAAATCACCCCACGTGAAGCTACATACATACAATATGATAAAATACACAGGGTGTTCCATTTAGAAAAGATTTACATACTTGCGGTCGCGCCTAAATGCAACCCCCTGTATAAATAAATTGAAATAATTTTACGTTATAGAAACTGGTAAATCAAACAACTTTTTGTTTAAACATTTTCTTTCTATTTCAAATGATTTAATGCCTATCGTCCACCATGATACTAATAACTCAACCCTGTATACATTAAATTTAACGCAATATATACATTAAAAGGTTAAATAAATTATTATATAAGCAGGTTAAGCAAAGGAAATCAACGAAAAAAAAATTGAAAAAAATAAATTAATGGAAACTGTGTATAAAAATTTTTATCTCGATTTTATCATACCTTCTAAGAAACGCTACAGCTCTTCTATTCAAATTCAATTAAAAGAACGACGGCAGATTTTTATGTTAAAGCGTAATATTTACAATTAATAGCGCATAAAAATCCGCAGCCTCTATAAAATAATTGGTTACCAACACGCATTAAGTTCAAAAAATGATAACCTATTCATTCACAAGGCAATAATATAATTCAATTTTATCATTATTGTTTTGAAAACGTGGGTTAGGAAGGACCCAAAGGATAATATAGAGTTAAAACTTACTCAATCGCCTCATGAGGTTCCCCGCGAAAGAAGTTGTCGGTGGTGGATTAACCGCTTCCCGTTCGCTTTTGTCGCGCAAATCCTTCAATTTTTGCAAATCATTCTTTTGGAATTTGATTATCGGAACGGATAATAATCGATTATCGCGTCTTCGATTTAATTCTAATTCTTTTTTACGTCGAGGTGGTCGAACGGGTGCCCCATTCTCGTCGTACAAATCTAAGTGTATCGGCCTCGTCATCCTTCGCCCCATCATCGTTTGTTTGTGTTTAATAATCGCCTCCTCTTGGCTACCCAAAGAACCAATAATAATCGGAACGTCTTCATCCGCTTCGGTTTCATCGTAACTTTTTTGCTGTTTCGGTGGTGATTTTTGGTTTTCGACGACCGTGTTCTCATCGACGGATTCTTGCGAATCCGATGATAATTCGTCGAATTCCTCTTGACTCGGCGAAACATCCGGGTAAAAAATTGAGTTCCTTTTTTCCTTGATTTTTTGATCCGGCTTTGAAAACGGCTTCGAAAACGTTTTCCACATCGATTGACGTCTTCTGGTCCCTTGAGCTGGAGGTGGTTGTTGTAGCTCCTCTTCGGCCGCCTCGCACGCGACGGCGGAGGACTCAGTGGGAGTAGGACAAGGGCATTGGATAGGACTGGACTCCATCTACGTATCATGCATTAGCAAAAAAAATTCAATTCGAAACCGTTGGTTTTAAAGTAATCTTAATTAAAAAACCAACGATTTTTAATTATCAAAAATTGTTGTAAATAGGAGAAGTTGTTGTTGAAAATAAGATAACTTTTGCGGTTTGCTTTGTGCAAAAAATAAAACGAAAATAAATTTGAAAATAATCTAACAATCCCCTGATTTCTGTAATTTTTCTCCACATCAATCGAAATCTTTTTATTAAATCCAGATTAAATCCTAATTTAATTTTATCATCTACTTACTCTATTTAAGAAAAAAATAACTCTTTTCAATTCTTACCTGATCAATACTCGGACTTCTCGGCTGTCTTTCATCCCGATCGATTCCCAAACCATCTCCCCCGCAAGGATTGTTTCTTTTCGGACTTCGCAACGCTCTCGAATACGGATCTTGAGCCCCGTACAAATCCGGACTGCCCACATTTAACAAGCAGACTTTTTGCTCTATATCTACTATCACAATTCCGGCTTCGTTTCCATAAGCCATTCTGCAAAAGAACGATATAAAGCGAATCGATTAAGCTTGAAATTGGAATTTACAATCCGTAAGAACTATTGAGAGTTAATGCTGTTATTTTACTCGGTGGTTCCCCGTTGTTATGCGGGGTTAGACAAACAAGTTGCGCTTGAAATCCGGGAAGTTTCTTTTGGATTCCAGGACGAACCTTTAGAGAGCAGGAGATATCCTAAGAAATACAGGATTAAAATTAAAAAAATTAAATTAAATTATTTAGTACTCGTTTATTGTCGAAATCCAACATGTCTAATCGACTTGTGGAACCTCCGCTTCCGGTAGCGGAAACTTGACAATCCGGGGAACATTCTAAATCGTCCGGGATTTCATAAACAATTGGAATTTCTAACACCTAAAATAAATAAATCTAATAACATTATTAATGTTAAAATATTAAATTGGAAAACTTGCCGGAACTTCCTCGGACGTTTCCGTTTTTTTATACGAGAATAAAATAACGTGGCTGCTCGCCCCGGCAACACACAACTTTCTCGATTCGGGACACAATGATAAAAGTTCGATGGCGAACGGATCTTCGTCGCCATCAACCGAACGAACTTTTGGTTTTTCAAAAATCTTGGCTGTTTTTAGTTTGTAAAGAACTTGCAGGGTGCCCGCGCTTGCATCCCAAAATTTAATACTTCCATCAGCGTGTCTAAAATAATCATTTGTATATTCAGAAATGTTTAAGAAATTATAGGAACGATTTTAAAACCCCAAAATTTGCAATCAATTGCAGTTAAACAACCTTTTCTTCTTAATATGCGAAAGGTTTTTTGGAACTACAGTAAAACCTCGATATAATGGATAAATGGAACCCGAAACTTAATTAACAACAAACAAAAAAATCTAACGCTAGAACTAGAAATATTGAGGTGGTGGGTTGGTATTACTGATCGATGGGTTAAAATAACTTATGCGATGTGTTTTATGGGTTAATTCAAAACCTTTTTTGTATAAAAAGTTTTTTTCCATCGGATATAATTAATGAGTATTAAAGAAAATTGATAAAAACGTCAAAATTTCTATTTTTCTTATGTTGGGTTGGTAGTGCTGATTGATGGAGTAAATATCTGTATTCAATACGTCTTATGAGTTAATTCTAAACATTTTTTGTTTAAAAAATAATTCTCCATCATGCATAATTAATAAGTTGTAACCGAAAAGGTTCAAAAACACAAAAATTTGGTTTTGTTTTTGGGTTGGGTTGGTACTATTGATCGATGGATTAAAATAACTTATTGGATATTATGTTTTATGGATTAATTCTAAATCTTTTTTGTATAAAAAGTTTTTTTCCATCAGATATAATTAATGAGTTATAAAAGAAAATTGATGAAAACGCCAACATTTCTATTTTTCTTAAGTTAGGTTGGTAATGCTGATTGATGGAATGAATATCTGTATTCAATACGTCGTATGAGTTAATTCTAAACATTTTTTGTATAAAAAAAAATTCTCCATCATGCACAATTAATAACCAAAAATGTTTAAAAACATCAAAATTGGGGATTTTTTGTCCATATTCTTATAATTAAGACAAATAACTTTTTCTTTTTGTACTTCTGATGTTTTAATTTTATTTTATTTTATGTTTGGTAAACATGTAATGTTTTTACTCGAAATGTCAAAGAAGTTGACGTAAGTTATTTTTAGATTAGGTTAACCCAAGCTCTTTTAATATCACACTTTCATTTTATATTTTATTTTGTTAATTGTATGTGGTTTAATTGTAGACGCTCCTGAATGATGGCTGCGGCCGAAACCGGTAGTGCATAAATAAAATAAAATTAAAACATCACCAGTACAAAGAGAAAAAGTTATTTGTCTTAATCAAAATTTGGTTTTATTTTTGGGTTGGGTTGGTACTACTGATCGATGGATTAAAATAAGTTATGCGATGTGTTTTATGGGTTAATTCAAAACCTTTTTTTGTATAAAAAGTTGTTTTCCATCGGATATAATTAATGAGTTGGAAAAGAAAATTAATGAAAACGCCAACATATTTCTATTTTTCTTAAGTTCGGTTGGTAATGCTGATTGATGGAATGAATATTTGTATTCAATACGTCGTATGAGTTAATTCTAAACATTTTTTGTATAAAAATAATTCTCCATCATGCACAATTAATGGCCGAAAATGTTTAAAAACATCAAAATTTGTTTTTTTTTTGGGTTGGGTTGGTACTACTGATCGATGGATTAAAATAACTTATTGTATGTGTTTTATGGATTAATTCTAAACATTTTTTGTATGAAAAGTTTTTTTCCATCAGATATAATTAATAAGTTATAAAAAAATTGTTGAAAACGCCAACATTTCTATTTTTCTTATGTTGGGTTGGTAATGCTGATTGATGGAATAAATATCTTTATCTACAACTATTGAATTATCTATTCGTTATACATTCGATTTTTGACGGGTAATGACACTCATTACTCATGACTAGGGCCCGGAACTTTTGTAACGGTACGATACGATTTACCCCCTCCACTTGTTCTCCTAGAAAATGATCGGTTGTTATTGACGACCGACGATCGGTTTTTTATTGCGCATCAATGTCAACATTGTCAACTGTCAGTACGATTTCACTGTTGTCCAAATGTGCAGTATTCGACGCTTTTCATCCGCATAATTTCGTCAAATTTGCTATTTATCTTTCTTTAGTTACCTTTAATTGGAAGTTGGAGTTCAGTTTGAGTTCGTGTTATTGTTTTTTTTAAGAATTGTTTTTAGTTTCCCTTTGTGGTAAAATTGTTGTTCGGATTTGAGAATTGTTCAACAAATTGCCGAAAACAATATACCTTTAACTCTTAAGGAAAAATATGGTTCAATAGCTCAGTATTTTATTTATGCTCCATTTACAAGTTGTGATGTTGAAAGATTATTTTCTAGGTACAAACTCATTTTAACGTCAACTAGAACGTCATTTACAGAAGAAAATTTAGGGATGGTTGTTTCAATATGCGTTAACAGCAATTTTTTATATCCGTATCCGATTTGTGATTGATATTACAAATCGGATCATGTTTTTTTGAATTAAAGTTATAAAATATATTTTTTTTTAATATTTTCAAATCGTACTGACAGTTGACACTGACGTGTAATAAACCGATTGTCGGTCGTCAACAACAACCGATGAGGTGAGTTGACTTGACGCCACCGACTTGTTTTCTAGGAGAACAAGTGGTGGGGGTAAATCGTATCGTTCCGTTACAAAAGTTCCGTGCCCTACTCATGACTGACAAAGTGTTGAATAATGAAGCCATTATTCCACAGTTCTGACACGGCCTACTAATCAAAAAAATAAAAGATTAACAGAAATGACAGCTTTCTTATATTGAGGTTATGCCTGAAATGTCTATCAAGTTTTTTTTCTTTCCTTTTTTTTGATTTTTTTTTTTAAATTAAATACTTGTAGATAAAGTATAGTATTCAACTTGCGTATAATGGATGTTACCCACTCAGATTGCAACTTCATCTTCGTGGGTAACAGCTGCCATTATACGCTTGTTGAATAATATACTATTATCTACAACTATTGAATTATCTATTCGTTATACATTTGATTTTTGACGAGTAATGACACCCATTACTCATGAGTCTCGTGACCAGAGCCCAGACAGTTTAGGAAAATTATCCTAAAACGCCTCCCACTCCAGTCTCAATATTCAATCGAAGCGTGCGAAGCTGTCGGATACGTCATACCTTATGTCACAAAATAAATTATAATTTATAATTAATTTATTAATTATAAATTTAATAAAACCAAAAATGAATAATTCAGTGCGTATTTTTATATTATTTTTATTAATTCAGTAATTAATGTTGCACTGCAAGTTCTTCGCTAAGGTACGCTCATCGCTCTTCGAAATTCAATTTTGAAGAGTAACTTAAAAGGTGTCAAAAGTGACAACAACGTACTTACGTCGTTGTCATGGAATTCGTTTCGTGTAGACGGGCGCACTTTTCCTAAACTGTCCGGGCTCTGCTCATGACTGACAAAGTGTTGAATAATGAAGCCATTATTCCACAGTTCTGACACGGCCTACTAATCAAAAAAATAAAATATGAACAGAAATGACAGCTTTCTTATATTGAGGTTATGTCTGAAATGTCTATCAAGTTCATTTTTTTCCCTTTTTTGATTTTTTTTTTTTTAATTAAATAGTTGTAGATAAAGTATAGTATTCAACTTGCGTATAATGGATGTTACCCACTCACACACTTCTTCTTCGTGGGTAACAGCCACCATTATACACTTGTTGAATAATATACTATTACTATTCTGGATTTAGACATCGTATAGACAACTCGGGGAATACCACGAGTTTATCTACGAACATGGAATAAAGCAACTTGAGGAATAACCCAAGTTTGATTCTGAAGTCCGTTGTAGACGAGGTCCATTATATCGAGATTTTACTATATTTTTGTGTCTTGTGTATTTTTGTGTCATAATTAACTTATGAAAATGCAAGTTAAAATAAAAGAAATACCCTGTCATAATAATTTCGCTATAACTGCACGATTGCGCGGACCAAGTTCCACCACTTATAACCCATTCGCGTTCGGAAAATCCGGATTTCTTCGTCGATCCCGATTTTCCAACCGTATAAAATGCCGGGATAAGATCGGCCGGACAATCGACGAGATAGCTACAGCAGGTCACGGGAGATTCGTGGATATCCATCGGATACGGATTCTCCAAACATGGAAATCCGGCGGTTTGAAGATCCATTACGACCAGATCGTTTTGAAGTAGAGCTATTATTGCGTACGGTTCTTGTAATTCTAAAAAAAAATGATTATAATAAAAAAATGTTTATTCAAAAAGTTTTATTTTCGCGTGCATTATTCAAATTTAACGGTCCCTTTGGGACCAGTACGTTTCGTAAATCCAACCGCGCTATTACGCGCCGGTTATTTATTCAGCTTTACCGCGCGAACGAACCAACGGGTATCGTACGTTTTAAAACCGGGGCCACCCTTCATTTGGGGGCAAATTTTGGCAACGTGCCATCCGGTTCATCTTCCGGCCAACACACTTACCGCTAGTGTACGGCGACTCGCACAATGTTATAAAATCGACGACGTTGTGTTCCATTTCCAAGACCGTTGTAGTTTTATTGAAAACAACCGTTATGCTCGGTGTCCTTCCGGGTTGGTCGTACGGCATACCACCGGAGAATATCACATACGATTCTCTAAAATACAAATAAGTAACTAAATTTAAAATAGAATTGAATAGAATAGTTGGGGATTTATTTTCACCAACATCAATCCTCCATTAAACTCGAAGAACGCGGAGAGCATAAGCCGTCGATTAAAAGTTTGAAAAGGCCGAGTCGAATACCCAATTAGGGTGCTACAAAGGAACTTACCCGGATTTCGAAGATTTCCATTCTATCTTTGTGATTGGCTTGCACTGTTCTAATTTTCCATCTTTGTTCACTTTTGCTACAAATGTTATAATTAATGTTTAATTTCATTTTTCTTTTTGACTTTTTTCTTACCATGCGGTTGCGAAACGTGAACGGGTTTATTATTTTGCCTCGTCGTCCACGTCGTTAACGAGCCATCCGCGTGTGAGCACATAAATTGTTTCCCATCGTGATGCCAACAAATCGATCTTAACTGTTCCGCCGTTTGGAATCTTACGTCCGCCGATTTATTTCTAAGATCCCAAAGTGCTATTTGACCAGATTCGAAACCTATTAACAACTAAAAACGGAATTATTTTTGTTTATTTAACGATTAATAATGTTTACTTTATTTGCATCCAATGGATTGTCGCTAAGATGAACTACAGGTCCAGGATGAGTTTTTCTTGTCCTAAAAGAATAAAATAATGAGTCGAAATAAATTGATGAGTTTATTATCGAACTTACACTTCCATAGCTTTATTCCAATTAATCACATATCCGCTAAGAGTGAAATTCTCAACGTGTACGATATGAACGTTACCGCGTTCGGTGCCTACGTAAAGCCATTTTGATTGTAGAGGTAGATGCATGTACGTAATCCTGTAACAAATTGCACACAAAACCGGAACATTGTAACTTTAGTTAACGTTAGTTAACGTGTTGGAATTACTTCTCCTTTTGGAATTTGAGACTTTGCACCAACTGCGGCAGTTTCTCTTGTTTGAAGTTCCACAGGTGGATAGAGTCGTCGGCGGTGGCCGAAATAAGAGCACCCTCATTGATGAGAAACTGAAGGTGGATAACGGCGGCGCTACTCGGCGGCCCGTCCATGTCGTGCCTCACGTGCACGTCCACACCCGGTTGTCCTAATCTAGTTACGCTTGTCAGGAAAATTGATCAAGTTTGCTTTTCCCACCCCTCCAAACGTGGCACAAACATAGGCAAATACATAAAGGAAACGAGGAGATTGATTGGACTTCCACAGGTGAGGTAACAAATTTATTTCTCTTTTTTTATTCTGAATAGGTTAATGGATTCTTTACGTGCCCGACACTACTTTATTATTATACAAAAATCGAAATTTTACTTAAACAATGGAAATACGAAACGTAAAAAATATATCGTACTATACTCTATTTTTTAATTCGGAGGAGTGTTTTCAAACTAAAGCGCCAAAAAGAAGGGTTGCTATTGGTCAGTTTTAAAGAAAAATTGCACCAGGAAAATTTGAGATGTTTGCGGCCGTCTAGAAACATTCGGGTTTAGCCGCACGTCTCTCAACACGGCTAAACCCGAATTATTCTAGTTTTAGGTCTTGTGTTAGTTCTAGTAATAGTGCTAGTGTAAAACCAGAACTAACACTAGACCGAGAACTAGAATCATTCGGGTTTAGCCGCACGTCTCTCAAGACGGCTGTTCATTTTTTTCCC